GCTAATCTTTCTCATTTCCCTCTCACATCAAATCAGTTATTGTCGTGTCATTCATACCTTCGAAACAGGTCCCCTTCCAAATCTGTCCCTTTGTTTCTGTTCCCACTGCCATCACCTGTGTTCAGTCCGTTATCACCTCACTCCTAGATTACAATAACTTCCTTGTTGGCTTCCCTGCCACCAGTGAGCTCTGATCAGTCCTATACACTGACATCAGGTTTATCTTCTTAAAACAGCAATATCACCACATCCTTCTTTGGCTCTGATATCTTTACTACTTCTTCATTGCCTAATAAAGTCTAGGTTCTTTAAATGGTTCTCTATGGATCTGTTAAAGGATCTTAATGTGATCTTAACATATTACGGATGGTAACTTGTTGGGAGAGATATTTTAATACTGCATTATGTTCTATGGTGTCAAATGCTTTTTTTTAAAAAGCGATCAATTAACAAGCTTTTGTCAAGAACCTACTATATGATCAATTGGGGAATGGCTGAACAAGTTACAGCATATGAATGTAATGGAATGCTATTGTGCTATACGAAATGATGAACAGGCTGACTTCAGAAAAACCTGGAAACACTTGCATGGTCTGATGCTGAGTGAAGTGAGCAGAACCAAGAGGACTTTGTACACAATAACAGCCATGTTATGCAGTGACTAAGATTGTTAAACTGAACCCTTCTCAGCATTACGAGGATCTAAGACATCTCCAGAGGCCTCGGGATGGAAAATACTGTCCACATCCAAAGAAAGAACTATGGAAATCGAATCGCTATCACTTATTTTTACCTTCTGTTAAGTTTTGTTTCATCTTTCTGATGGTTCCTCCTATTGGTTTTAATTTTTACTTACAACTTCACTAATGTGAAAATATGTTTAATGGGTATGTAAATATAAAGCCTACATCAGATTGTGTGCTGTCTTGGGGAGGGTGGGGGGGAGGAAGGGGGAGAAAAATTTTCAACTCAAAAGCATATGGAAGTGATTGTTGATAATTCAAAATAAATTAATAAAATTTAAAAAAAAAAGAACCTACTATATGTTAGGCACTGTGCTGGGCCCTGGGATACAAAGATTAAATTCAACACATCCTATCCTTGAGGAGCTTACGACATAACAAGAAAAGACACTGTATATGCATATAGATGTATACAGGATAGATTAAAAAAAAGTTACAAGATAATTGAGGGAGGATCAGGAAAAGCTTCATATAGAAGGTAGCATTTCACATGAGCCTTGAAGAAATCTAGGGATTGATTCTAAGAGGCAGAGTCAGTGAGAGAACTTATTCCAGGAATGAGTCTGTGGTGTGAATGAGAATGAAGAGGTAAAACTGATTCGTACAGTGGGAATCTGAGTGAATGGAAGGATGGCGTGCCTTCGACAGACAGAAAGTTAGGGAGAGCAGTGAATTCAGGGAGAAGAAGAATAAATAAACTCTGTCTTAAATAGGTTGAATTTAACTTTAGAGTTAGAGGCCCTAGATTCAAATCCTACCTCTGGTAGACACTGCCTGTATGACCTTAGGCAAGCCACCTAACCCCTGCAGACCTCAGTTTCCCCATTGATAAAATGAAGTGCCTTCCAGTTCTAGAGTTATGATCCCCTGGACAGATAAGTCTATCATTCAGGTGCCTACAGGACATCCAGTTCAAAGTATCCAATAGACATTTGGTAATACCGGAATAGAACTCAAAAGAGAGTCTAGGGTTGGATATTTAGATTTGAGAGAAATCATCATAAAGATAATATTTAAGCCTATGGGAGCTAATGAGGTCACCGAAAGAAAGACTCTATCTATATGAGGAAAGAGAGAGGGAGAAAGACAGAGACAGAGAGAGAAGGTCCCAGAATAGAACTGTGGGCCATACCCGTAGTTGGAATGACGTGGATGATCATCCAGCAGAGGAGACTGAGAAGTAGGGGTCAGAATCTTACATCCTCAAAAAAAAAAAAGCACATGAGATAATGTATGTAAAGTGCTTTGTGAACCTTAAAACACTATGTAAATGTGGGAATTATTACTGTTCTCTATATTCTGCGGTCAGTTGTGTGACTCTGATTATGTGGTCTGCTATAGAAAATCATCTGTAAAAGGCTGCTCTTCCCTTCTTGTGTTTTCTTCGAGGATGCCCTTGCTATGTATGTAAACCATTCTCATAAAGATTTTATAGAGATGAGTAATTAGGCATATTAGCTGGTAGTTGATGATGTCTTCTTGGGTACCTATTTTTACAATAATACTGTGATCTTTTCAGTTCTTTTGGAATCACCCACTCTTCCAGATATCTTAAAAGTCATTCCTTGAGCACTTTAGGATTACGCTTTATCCAGCTTGATTCCTTCTATATGTATATTTGGTCAAGTCCAGCTGCTCTTCCCAATTTCTTCTTCTCAGGTTCCATTTTCATTCTGTTCATAAAGCACATTGGGTAGGCAGGTATTAGAGGCCAAATGTAGAATTGTGGGAGATGAGGGTAGAAATAGTGACTGGACCTATGATTTAATCATTATAAGAAATTTAACTCCCTCTGCCAATGCAGGTAGGCATCTTCTAAACACCTTATGGTATTAGAGAGTTGCCTAGAGCCCTCTGAGATTAAGTGACTTGCCCAGGGTCACGCAGCCAGTCAGAGACCAGACTTGAATCCAGGCCTTCCTTACTTTGAGGCCAGCTTTCTAGCTACTCCGCCACTCTGTCTCTCCAAAGAGGTAAATAATACCCTGTATATTATCCCTCTTCTCGTGGAGCTCACAGTATCAGAGAGTATCATGCATACATAAATGACCATGCTATAAAATGACACATGGTTTGTACCTCTCCTGCATTTATCAAGTGTTATTTGAGATCTAAAGGGGACGAAGAAACATTACTGAACCAAGCAGGAAAGATTTCTTGTAGAAATGTCATTTGAGCTAGACCTTAAAGAGTTGGTAGACTTCAGAAAGTAGAGTTGGTGGGGCTTGGTATTTCATATGTATTAGATCGTAGGATTAAGAGTCCAAGGGACATGAGGTTCACCTAATTAAACCCCTTTATTTTATCAGTACTGGAGTGGTCAAGGGACTTAGCCAAGTTTACACAGCTCTTAAGTAGCAGAATTGGGGTTCACACCCAGACTGTCTGATGCTAGATCCAGTGTTCTTTCCCCTACACCACATTGCCTTTCTATATGAGGCTATAGGTGCGATGCACAATAAGAAAGAAGTTTGTATGTAGTATAGTTACCTTTTATAGATACATACTGTATCATAAAATGTTTTCCTTAATTAAGTGTTCCTGCCTCCTTGGTGTTTTAAGCATCCAAAATGAGGAGAGCGAGTATTTCATCAAGTCAACAAACATTTATTAAGCACCTACTATGTGCCAGGCTCTGCTAAGTACTGGGGATACAAAGAAATGCAAAAAATAGTCCCTGCCCTAGAGGAGTGCACAGTCTAACAAAGGAGACAATATGCAAATATTTATGTACAAACAATTTATATACAGGATAAATTAAGGATAATCAACAGAAGGAAGGCTTTCCTGACCTATGTTATAAAGAGCTCTGAACTAGGAGTCAGAAGACCTAGGTTGGCTCCTGGTTCTGGCACTTGCTCGCTCTGTGACTCTGGGCAAGGCTTTGCTTACTTGTTCATCTGTAAAATGGGAATGAGAATATTTATTCTACCTGTCTCATGCGTGGTTGTGAGCCAAGTGCTTCATAACCTCAAAGCACTATAGAAATACAGATTACTCCAGTGCCAGGAACAAAGCAAGTATTTGACAAATGTTTGTGGAAGTGAAAGAAAAATGGTCTGTTAAATGGAAACTCACTGTACTTTGATGATCTCTTACCATCAACAGTTTAACCTAAGCGCATACAAATGAATATATGACAGCCAGCATGCCACATTGCCAATTTGTGTCCTCATATAATAAGATACATTATTCAGCTCCTAGGGCAGTAGTAAAAATTGCTGTCCTTTTGACTTCCTAAATTATTTAGTTTGAAATAACATTAATATTTCCACATTAATAATGTATTACAATAGTAACATATTTGTTTCTCATTAGTCGAAAAGAAGTAGAGCAAAATGAGGGTGTCATTTTGGAAATGCAAGCCCTATTCATCATGAGACAGCCATTATTTTGAAATGGGAGCATTTCCACTTTACGAAATCTCTCTGTTGAAATGACTCTGTCTAAAAAGCATGTAGTACGAGATACTGACATTTGTCCATATTATCATTACTGAATATCTATTTTCTGATTGATTCAGGGCACATATTTGTTCCCTGCCTCAGCTGAACAGAGAGAATACGTCCATAAAAAAACACTTCAAAGAGCACTTTGATCATTGACTTTTCTGGCAAACTAATATTCATTCAAGAAAAAAAAATAGGCAACCATATAGCAGTTGGCTGATTGAAACTGGAGTAATGCATGCTTGATAGCTCTCACTCTAAATTATTACAGAAATCATAGAAACAATAGCAGACCAGAAATTTAGGATGGCGTTCTACAGATTGAACGTACAGCTTTGAGAACGGCTTAAGATTAATCTAGCTCTATTTTACTATCAAAGGCTTTAGTAAAATTGTAGACCTGGGGGATAAGGTGCTAAAGATCATCTAGTCCAATCTCCCCCTTTTACAGATGAGGAAACTGAGGCTCAGAGAAGGTAGATGACTTGCCCGTGGTCAATCCAACTATTTGACAAAACCAAGTCTGAAATTCAGCTTTCCTGATTCCCAGTTCAGTCGCCTTTCTGTCACATCACATTGCATTTTAAAAAATTAGGCCACAGATATTTCTGGTATTTAATTCTTTGATTTACAGAGTAATTTGTTTACATAGAAGTGATATTTGTCAGTAATTAACTTCTTCCATAATGTAGTATCATAAAAACTATCATTTCTAATGATTCTCAATTTTCAGTATTACCTCTTTTTCCGGAACATTGTGATACAGAAACTTGATACCACAAACCTTTATTTCTTTTTATATTTTCAGGATCTTGACATAGGTGCAAAAAAAGTGAAGCTTTATGTCAATGAAAACCTCGTATTTGATGGACAGTTAGAAAAAGGCAATGGAGAGCTGGTTACTGATTGTAGCACCATACTTGACCTTAAAAATGATGGGCGGGAAAACTCTACGAACCGTAATATGGAGGACAGCAAAGACGTGTGCTGGACTGTTGGCAGAGATGGTGACAAGGAATTCAGTTTCGGTTATTCACAGCCAGATAGAACCTTATCAGGTATCTTTGGTGTAAAGATGAACTCTACTAATTGCACAAAGGACAATTTGTCTAAGTTAGAGGAGGACTTGAAAGTGTTATCTGCTCCTGTCTCCATGGTTGATGTACCAAGTGACCCTCCAGAATCCTCTCTTGTGAAATACCCTTCTGATGATGAACTTACTATCACTGAGCAATTAGAAAAACTCACAGGCAGAAAAGTGTCTCAGCCTCTTAGTAAAACCCCACCTTGGTTACAGTCTTCTTCCAAAACGAAAGATAAGAAGCCAGAGGGCAGGAAACAGAAACCTCCTTGGCTGAGTCCAGAGGAGCCTCTTGATTTGAAAGTCAAACTACAGTCAGATGGCATCACTAATGAATTTCCTGCAGAAAATGAGGAAAATGACAAATGCCTGCAATGGGAACAAGGACAAGCTGGTAGCCGTAATGCCATTGCAAGTGACAAGCCACAGGCAAGAACTGAGAAAGAGGCCACTGATGACTTAGACATTTTTGACCTACTTTCTAATAAGGATCACTATGGCCCAGAGCGCCCTATCAGCGGGAGGAGGAGTTCCAGAAAGGATGCTTTCAACAGAGATGGTGGAGATGAAGGTCTGACCAATAAAGGTAAGAAAAAAGAATCATTCTGGACTAGAGCACTATTCACTCACACACACACACACACAACACACACACACACACACACACACACACACACACACACTTCAGATCTTTTGAGAGAGAAGAAAGTGTATTAAATCCAGTGAGAGCTGGCTTAATTTATGCCTATATCTGAAACATGTTCAGAGGTACTGTCAGATCCCCACCTCCCAGAGAGCCAGGCAGTTATTAGCTTTCCTGGTAAACATAAACAAGAATTCCTTGGGGTTTCATTGGGGGCTGCTATTATTCTGATCTGATGAAGTACAAGGTGCCTTGTCTCATTTTAATTTATGTCTAGTCATTTCTACTCAAAGGCTCAATGACATGTTAAGAGCCTTTGGGATTTAGCACTTGTTAGAAGGGTCATGATAACAAAAGGGAAAGGTATTTAGAAATTATAAATTACCCATTACACGCAAGTCATATCCCTTAATAGTGCCATAGAGCAAGGACTAAATGCTTGTGAAAGAAATTTACTTTTTTTTTTTAGGAACACAGGGTCATATCAAATGTTCAAAGAATTGTAGGTCGTTGAAGTACTGCTGTAGCACTGGAAGGGAATCCATAGGCCATCTAGTACAACTGCCTTCTTTTATACTAGAGGAAACTGAGCCCCAGATATGTCTCCTGACCTGCCCAAAGTCGTGACAGTAGTAGGCTTCTTAGGCAGGATTCAAACCCAGCTTCTCTGACTCCTGAGCCAGTGCTTGTTTCACTGCCTCCCTAATTAGGTAGAATTATGTTGCTTTTAGACTGCCTTCTGCACAGCTTGATCATCTTTTTGTTCCACAGAGATTTTCCTTAAAATAGTTTCATTATGATGGAATTTAAATTCTCAAGTCATAGGGTCATAAAACTTGTTAAGCAAGGGGGCCCCTTTTTGGATCACTCATTTTACAGATGTGGTGGGAAGAGCCCTGGATCTGGAGTTGAAGGACCTGGGATTGACTTCTGGCTTGATACTTATTACCTGTGTGTCCATGGGCAAGGTCCTGAAAGAGTCCAGGCCAGCGGTGGGGAACCTGCAGTATCAGCTGGGTTGGGGAGGTGCAGCGCACAGATCGGAGAAGTCTTCATGCAGAAGTTGGTGCTTCAGTTGTATCTTGAGAGAAGATAGGGGCTCAGCGAGGCAGAGGTGATGAGGAAGCTCAGTGCAGGCGTGGGTCATAATGGTCAGCACAGTCATTCACCCTACAGAGGAACTAAGTCTTGGACCGGGGTGGGAAAGCTGCGGCCTCAAGACCACATGTGGCCTTCTAGGTCCTTGGGTGTGGCCTTTTGACTGAGTCCAAGTTTTACGGAACAGATCTTTTTATTAAAGGGATTTGTTCTGTGAAATTTGGATTCACTAGGCCTGGAGTCAGGACGACTCATCTTTCTGAGTTCAAATCTGGCCTCAGACACTTACTAGCTGTGTGACCCTGGGCAAGTCACTTAACCCTGTTTGCCTCAGTTTCCTCATCTGTAAAATGAACTGGAAAAGGAGATGGCAAACAACTCCACTGTCTTTGCCAAGGAAACCCCAAATGGGATCACAAAGAGTCAGACAGGGGCAGCTAGGTGGTGCAGTGGATAGAACACCAGCCCTGAAGTCAGGGCGTGAGTTCAAATCTGGCCCTCAGACCAAACACTTGACACTTACTAGCTGTGTGACCCTGGCAAGTCACTTACTCCCAATTGGCTGGAAACAAAAAACAAAAACAAAACCAGAGTCGGACCCAATTGAACAACAACAACAAAAATGTATTTGTCTGTATATCTTTTTTCCTTATTCTTTATGTACATACATGTATGTGTATATATGTACTTGTTATCTTTTCCCACTAGAATGAAACATCCTTGCAAGTAGGAGTTCTTTCACTCTTTGTATTTGGAACCCTAGAGCTTAGTACAGTGCCTTGTACATAGTAGGGCTTCATAAAAGCTTGTTGGTTGCTTGATTGAAAAAAGTCTAAAGTTCCTTCTGGCTCTTAAGAGTTCATTACTGATTCTATTAGTAGGTCAGAAAGCTAACAAAAGGAACCTAAAGCTTCATGTCCCCAAATACACGGGCCGCCCGATTGATGCACAATGTATTCAGTATTGGATATGCTTATCCTCAGTGTGTGCCATTCATTTTAGCAAGTAGAAATCAAATTCTAGTAAATGGAAATAATGAACATAAGTCACAAAAATCCGTATAGGAAGTCAAACCTGCCAGATACAAAGATGTAAAGGCTCTTTCTCTGGCAAAAGACAAAGGATGGCAAAATCATGATGTTTTCTGCTGTAAAAAAACTAATGTTTGTTGACCATGTTTATTGATGAGCTCCTATAATAACTGCTGTAGGGGAGTACAAAGACACAGAAGACCCTGCCTTTGCTTTCTAAAAGCCAGTGAGCTGTCAGGGGAGTTAGGACATGTTTGTAAAGAACTACAGTACCAAATAATGTGTGTTAAGTGCACCTTGAGTGCCACAAGTGAAATAAAAGTTAGGTGAAAGAGAGGTGACTTCAGGATTAGTTGATCTAAGTAACAGGAGGCTAGGCCAAATGGAAATGGGTATAATTTTAATGGGTGGAGATGGAAAGGAGGACATTTTTAACAGGGGGAATAGTATAAGCAAAATTGCAGGAATAGGGAAGCATAAAACTTGTTTGGGGGAACACTGAGTAAACTACCCTATTTAAATTGGAAGGTTTTGTCAGAAAGTAATATGAGTTGTAAAGATAGGGTCCAGACTGTGGAGAGCCTTGAATGTCATACTACAGAATTTAGACTTTTTTTTTCAATGGGAGTGGGAAGCATTATTTTAGCAAAGTACTGATGTTATCAAAGAAGAGTTTTAAAAACTATTAATCTGATGGTAGTGTGTAGATTGGAGGCAAGGAAACCAGTTATGAATTTGTCACCATGGGGCAAATTTGAAGTCATAAGGGCCTAAATTAAATGGGTAGCTGGCTAATGGAAAGGTTGGAACAAGTGCAAGAGAGAAGAATCACTAGGATGCATGAGTATGGAGGAAAAGACAAAGACACAATTATCATTAAAGATGATAATGAATTTTTTGAGTCTTAGTGACTGGAATTCAATAGACAAATCAACATACATTCACTAAGTTGCTATTCTAAGCAAAGCACTGGAGATACCTAGAAAAAATTACATATACTTCGCTTTTGTTGAGATTACCATACAATAACAGAAAGATACATACAAATAACTATAATGGTAGGAAAATGCAAAATAAGTGTGGAAGGGTTGAATCAAAGTGTTATGAAAACATTAAGGAGGTAGAGATCATATTTACCTGGACTAATGTGGAACAGAAGCTTCATGGAGGACCTCAGTTGTGCCTTGAAAGAAGGGGAAGACTTCAGCAGAGAAGGAAGTCTGTTCTAGAAGGATGGTGGAAGGAAAATGAGATTGACAGGAGAGGAGAAAATAAGAAGATAGGACAGAGATAAATTCAGTTTGGCTAGAATGTAGATTACATGAAAGAAATTATTATAAGACTATACCAATATGTTGAACTTAGATTGTAGAAGTCCTTGAATGCTGGAATCAAGAGATTGTACTTTTTTCAGTATGTAATCTTCAGTAGACAGTCACTGAAGTTTTTGAGTAAAGAAGTAACATTATCAGAGTGGTATATTAGGTAAATTACTAAGACATCAGTGTGAAGAATAGATTGATGAGGAGATAAATTAGAAACAGGCTAGTATAGAGGCTATTATAATAATTTAGGCAAGAAGAAATGAGGACCTGAACTAATGTGATTATAATGGGAGTAAAAAGAAGCAAAAGATACGTTACAAAGATAGAATCAATAGGAGTTGTTGGCAATTGATTGGATGTGCCTGGTGAGGGAGAGGGAAGATTCAAAAATGACTCTAAGGTTATGAGCCCAGGTATGAAGATGATGGTGCCATTTGCAAAAATAGAGAGGTTATGGGGGAGGAGTAGTTTTTAAAGTAGAGAAGACTAGTGAAGTTTTGGATATGTTGTCTGAGGTGATGGGGGGAGGGACGTCCAGGCAGGGTATCCAGTATTCTGATTGGAACTATAGGACCAAAGCTTCAGGGGGTTACAGTGAGGAGTTTGGGAGTAGAAATCAAGGTCTAAGAGTCATCTGCATAGGATTGAAGCTGTGGGGATGCATGGCATTGTCAAAAAAAGGACAAAACATAGGTGAAGCACCTATACAGGAGGAAGATAAGGAGCTGTTAAAGAAGACAAAGAAGCAGGGGGGAGCATGGGAGAACCATGAGAATATTATGCCATGGAAGCCAAGGGAAGAGAACATATCAAGAAAGAGGTGGTCCACAGTGTTGAATGCTGCCGAGTGGTCAAGGAAGATGTCTCTAAGGGCCCTTCTGGCTCTAGGTCCATGATCCTGTGATGGTAGGGAAAGGGCCATGGATTTGGCTATCAGGAGGGCTTTGGTGACCTGGGAGAGAGAATTGTCTCACATAGAGTGGTACGGTCTGAATTCATATTGCATGAGGTTGCAGTGAGTAAGTGGGAAGCAAATGAGCTTACAGTGTATGGGAGGGAGAGTAACAATAGCCTGAAGGGGTGGGAGTCCCAAGGGAAGATTTTGTTTTGGTTTTGGATAGAGAAGAAAAGAACTTATGATTATTATTATTATATTATTATTGATGTTATTATTTATTAATAATTTAATATTAATAACAGTAGTTAGAATTTGTATCGATAGCACTTTAAAGATTTAAATATGTTATCTCATTTGATATGTTGAAACAATTCTGTGACATTAGTGCTGTTATTATTCCCATTTTAGGAATTTCGGGAAACTGAGCCTGAGAGAGATTAGGTGACTTGCCTAGGGTCACACAACTGCTAGGTATCTGAGGCAGGATTTGAAATCAAGTCTTTCTGACTCTGAAGTCCTGCACTCTATAGATTGCACCACCTAGCTGCCTCTGTCTAGTGTAGTAGACTAAGGAGAAGGAAACTGCCTCTAAGAAGGGAGAGATTAAACATGAATGAGAGAGAAGGCATCGTTGCTGGAACAAGAGCACAGAGGAGGGAGGAGGGGCTGAGACTAAAAATATACCAGCAGAGGGGTTAGCGCTGGCAAGAAGGAAAGATCGCTCCCTTTCTTGGAACATTAATGAAGGAGTAGAAAATAGAGAAGGGTATTGAGAAGGGTAGAAGAATAGAAGAGGGGAACTGAGATGGCCTTGATCTCAGTAAAATAGCAGGTGAGAATAAAATAGGAGAGAGTAGAAGTGAAGAGAGAAGATAAGATTTGGAATAGTCTTTGTGGGGAATGACAATCAGGTAGAGAGAAAGGTCTAATTGAGTTTAGGTAACACAAATTTATAGTAGACCCAGTCAGTGCAATTTCGTGATTTCTTCCACCAGCATTTGGCAACTTGGGATTAGGAATAGAGATTTCAGAGGGAAGTTCTGGTATTTGATTTTACACGTGTTGAGTTGAAGGTGGTGATATGACATCTGTGTCAAAATGTTTAGCAGTCACAAAAGTTGTCCTGAGGTTTGTGTTGCCATAGGAGGTCGATGACTCTGAGAGAGTGAGGTTGATGACTCTGTGCAACTTCGCCTCACTCAAATCCAATTCAAGCCCCTGTCAAGACATTGCCTCATGACGTCATCAGTCCACTTCACAAATGAAGGACTAACAACAGCAACAGCAGTCATATGGGAAAATAGGATGGGGGAAGAAAAGGGCTGGAGATATAGATTTAGGAGTCATTCACATGGAGGTAAGCATTGAAATCATGGGAGTGAAGGAGAACATAGAGAGAAAAGAGGAGATGGCCAAGGACATAGTCTCTGAGATCTTCTAAATTTAAGGGTTGGTAAGGGGGAAGATACCTTTAAAAGAGACAAAAGGGGAACAGAATCATGAGAGTGTGGTGTTAGAAAACTATCCCAAGGAAGGGATAGTTAAAAGTATCAAAAGTTTTGAACTGAATTCAAAAAAGATGAGGACCAAGAAAAATTCATTTGCAGTGGTTTTTAGCGAAGCACTTCTGCTTTTATTTATATATATATTTTTGCAAAGCACTTTTAGCAAAGTGGTGGTGGTGGAGAAACCACCACATTATAGAGGGTTAAGGAAAGAGTGAATGATGAAGAATTAAAGGCAGCAGCTGTGAATTGTTGGTTGAAGAGGAATTCTGTTTAGAAGGAAGGTGGAAAATAAAACAACAGCTAAAAGGGCCAGCCTGAGGATCAAATTTTTTAATTTTTTTTCAAGTAGGAAATGTGTATGCATGTAAAGACCTAGGGCAAGAAGATGCTGGAAATTTTCTTACTCATTTTGAATTTTGGAGGCTCCACTGGGTCTTTTCGCATTTCCACCATCTCAATAACAATTTGCTTCACTCCAGAATTGAAAGCCACTCCTTACTGAGATGGTGTGTACCAGACATACTGAGCTGGAGTGACAGACATAATCACTGCAGTGACCTTCTGAGATGTAGATTTCTCTAGGGCCACCTGTGTCTCTTCTGTAATCTCTTTAATGGTTCACAGGTAACCCATTTGGTACCTAAAGATCACCATTCTCTTAACACCTTTCCACCTTTCACTAGAAAATCTTAAAATCTTACTTCTTCTCTTTTCTAGAGGACACCATTCCCGTCGTGTCTACAAAGATGGCTCGATCCAAGTGGCATAGTGAACAAGAACACACTCTCCAAGAGTCCTGGAACTCCCTCACTGCCTTCAATCGTTCTCACCGGGGTCGCATATCCAATATGGAATTTCAGGGTGATATCTTTGATGAATTCCTGCAGCAGCAGAAGATTAGTAGACATGGGGAGCAGCCGATGACAAAGGAAGGAAAGCAAGAATTGTTAAAAGGGCAGGAAGATAATTCCATGGATACAGATGATGAGAATGATTTCAAAATTCCAGTGTTGCCTCATGGACAACACTTAGTTATTGACATCAAATCAACCTGGGGAGACAGACACTATGTTGGTCTTAATGGAATTGAAATCTTTAGCTCCAAAGGAGAGCCTGTACAAATTTCTAACATAAAAGCTGAACCCCCTGATATTAACATTTTACCAGTCTATGGCAAAGATCCTCGTGTAGTAACCAACCTAACTGATGGTGTGCATAGGACCCAAGACGATATGCATCTTTGGCTGGCTCCATTTACCCCTGGCAAATCTCACTATATTTATATTGACTTTGTGCAGCCTTGCCAAGTTGCCATGATTAGAGTTTGGAATTATAATAAATCACGGATACATTCTTTTCGTGGAGTAAAAGACATCATGATGTTATTAGATGAACAGTGCATATTTAAAGGAGAAATTGCCAAGGCTTCAGGAACACTGACTGGAGGTATAATATCTTCAGAAGAACATTAAATGAAACTTCTACCCCCTTTCTTCCTGAGAATTTGGGCAAAAAAAGCACTTGATATCATAAGAGAAAATTGTCAATCCCACTTTCACTGGTCTGTTAGTTACCAATTGTCCCATGTTAAAGCTAGCAGGGACCTTAAGATACAGAATATAGAACATGAAATGTTGAAGCAAGGAGGAAACTTACATCACAAAACATAGAATGTGAAAGCCAAAAGAGACACTGGGCATCATCTGTTTCAGCCTCTTCATCTTACAGATGACAAAACTGAGGCCTAGGAGTTTTAATGACTGGCTTAATATTTTGAAATTAGTTAATGGCAGAGCTGTTATCCAGAACACCTAATCCTTTTCAGTTCTCCTTGCTGCCTACACTAATTAATAATTATTCACATATATTTTGAAAGTAGTTAGGTACTATGAAACAGTCTCATCCATTTGAACGTATCACATGTACATCCATTTGAAGGTATCACATATTACAATGAAGTGTGGTTCTTCCCCCTATTTTATTTGGTTTGTGCTGTTCTTATCAGTTAGATTATGTTTGCCCAAAGTATAAAGAATGATGGATCTTTCAAGAATTAAGAAGAGCTGTGGAACATATTAGTACTTTTGATTTTTTTTTTCAGTTTTATAGCCTTCTTTTAAAAATTACATAGAATTTGGGGAGTGGGTAGATTGGTCTTGTATTTTCAATTTTCTAAGTCCTTATTACTCTTTTAGCTCCAGAGCATTTTGGAGATACTATATTATTCACAACTGATGATGACATTCTCGAGGCCATATTCTGTGCTGATGAGACATTTGATGTTGATGTTGAAACCCTGTGCAATCTGAGATATGAGGAAGAATTCAAGAGACCACAGACAGCAGATGGGGAGGGTGATGAAAGGCCATTCACCCAAGCTGGTGTACGTATAGATGATCAGGTAGGAGATGGTTAGTAGCAAACATCTAAAGACACCATTTCTATGTGTTACTCACAGTAGAGGACCAATAGGTGAAGATCAAAAGTCTTCTGATATGTTTCAAAACTTCAAAATAATCATGAATTGATTAGTGTGGGTAATCAGGAAGATCATGAGCCCTACCTGCCACTACTGCTCTCTGATAGGAAGCCTTTCCTGATTCATGTGGTTCTACTTTCAGGCGGCAGACACAGAGCGTCATCCAGATTGTGCTTGGAGTCTTCCCAATTTGTTGGAATTGCTTTGTGCCTACAGAATTGCTAACATCATCACCAATTTCATAACGCACTTATATTGAACACTAGAGTTTGCAGAGCACTTTACATACATTATCTCATTGGGGCCTTACAGAAACCTTATCATGTAGATATTGTAGGCATTATTATCCTCATTTTGCAGATAAGGAAACTGAGGCTCAGAGAGGGTAAATGACTTGCCCATGGTACTAGAGCTGTTTGGAGGCAGAATTTGAACATGGGCACAGTACTGAACTCTGAGCACAGTACTGAAAAGCCTAGAGCTGACCTACTCACCAAAGTTAAAGTATCAGATGAATTTAGTGGATATCCCCAAAATCAGATTCCACAGAATCACTGGAATTCAGCATTAGAATGAATCTAAGAAGCCATTTAGTCCAACCCGTACCTGCAGAAGAATCTTCTTTACAATGTAGGTGGTCCTAAACCTTGACATAAAGACCTCCACTAAGGGAGAACCCACTACTTCTCAAGGCTATGCATTGTACTTTTGGATAGCGCTAATTGTTTGGAGCTTTTATCTCATATCAAGCCTCTACCTGCCTTTTTGTACTTTCCTTCCATTGCTCCTTGTTCTGCCATCAAGGGCCAAGCAGATTTATTTTCCACATGACAGCCCTTCAGATCTTGAAGACTACTGTCATAGCCGCCCACTCCCCAAATCCCATCCCAAGTCTTCATTTCTTCAAGATGAACATTTCCACGTCCTTCAGCTTATCCTCCTACAGCCTGATTTCAGTGCCCCTTACAATTGCTGTTGTTATCCTAGATACTCTTCATCTTATTATTAGTGTCTATAAAATATGCCAGTAGTATGTCTATACAGGGCAGAGTGTAGCAGCATGTGTGAACTTCCTCATCCTGACCTCCATGCCTCTCTTACTGCAGCCTATTTCATTAGCTTCCTTAGCTGCCATCACAGTCCTTGTCTGCTATCTTCTAAACCCTCAAGTCTTTTTCAAACTGCTGCCTAGCACTGCCTTCCCCGTCTCATACTTTTGAATTAGATTGTTTTGAACCTTACATTTATCTCCATTATATTTTACTTACTAAATTCAGTCCAGCATTCTAGCCGGTCATAATCTTTGTGTATCCTGATAGTTTTGTCCAGCATTCCTAGCTATCCCTCCTACGTTAGGTCATCTGCCTATTTGAAAAACATGCCATCTATGCTCTTATCCAAATTATCCAGAGTAGCATAGGGCCAACCACAGGCCCCTGGGGAGCCTCCATAGGAGACCTTTATCCCAGTTGACACTAAGTCATTAAAAACTACATAAGGATGAGGAAGAACCCCTCTTTGATATTGTACTGTAGGGGAGAGAATGCAGCAGTAGACTAGAAAATAGCACTTGGGCCATGCCAGAATAGAGGTGATGTGGCATAGCAGAAAGAACCTGGATTTGAATTCTACTTACCGTGGTACCTTGAGCAACTTATTCCACCACTCTGTGCCTCAGTGTCCATCTGCAAAATCAGGAGTGGACAAGATGACCTGTAAGGACCTTTCTCACTTTAAATTTTAGGATCCTAACAATTAGTAGCATAGATACACTGATCAATCTTTGCCACACTTGAGCACCATGTCAAATTACTTAATTCCTTGGGCTCTTGCATTTTCCATCTGCAAAATGGGAAAGTCATATTACATGCCTTGTATGATTTCCCTACATGCTTTGCAAAAAATTGTGAAGAGAAGACTGTAATGCACATGGATAATTAAAACTTCTTAGAGGAAAGTTTCAGTTGCCACTTTCAGTTATTTCAGAGCAGTGGACAACCAGCATAGTTCCAGATCACTGAAATCCACAGCTGATCCAAAAACCAATTTATAGCCATTAGTGTCAACCTCTTTCATTATCAAAAAGAAGCTACTAAATAGGATTATTCATCTATATCTATATATTTAGATGCACCTGTGTATATATATACACATATACATACACACACACATACATATATGTACACATATACACACGTGGATTTGGGTTTTCCTTCGTTTCTTTGACTAGTAGTGCCAACTCAGAACCAGAGAATGGTGATGGTGGTGGTGGTGGAAGTGGTGGTAATAGCACATGCGTTTAGATTATGCTTTACCATTGACAAAATCCTGAGAGGTGCAGATAATGCAAAATCTCAGTTTTGCAGATGAAGAAACTGTGTCTCAGAGAGGTTAAGTAATTTACTTGACTTTTACATGGGTTGGAACTAGGACTTGAACCCCGAGACTTCTCTCAGCCCAACAGTCTTACCACTGTTGTACCATACTGGCCAGTACAGATGATTTAAAAAGAAAATCATTAGAGTCCCTGTCGTTCACAAAGTATTTACCTAGTGTTCACTCTGTCCTGAGCATTATGGTGAGCAAAGCTGTGCAAGATATAGTCTCTGTCCTCCAGGAGCTTACAGTCTGGTAGAGGAGATAAGAATTAGCAGGGAAAAGATAAGCACAAGGGTGGATAATGTACATTCCTACTAGGTAATTATGGTAGAAGTCATTGAGAATTGACTTTTTGCTGCTTTTTGCCTGTATTTATTAGGCTCAAGAGCAAGAGTTGGTCTGCAGCCCTCCTCTGCTTGAGTTGACAACACCTGAGCCAGGAGTTTACAGTGGAATGTGTGAGTACTCATTTTCTCAGTGGTGCAGAGTGTAATTTCTTCTTGCATCTAGAACAATGCTTGACACAGAGAAGGAATGTTGGTTAATGAAGAGAGACTGACTTATCACCAGTCCACCACGGAACTGAAAAGTGAAATTATCTCGGCCATCTGGATTTGTGATTTCAACAGTCCTGGGTGCAAAATATATGTTTGGTCAGAATTTATTAACTGGTGTACTAATACACTTTTTCAAGTTTTGTCTCTGTTGTGGAAGAAAGATCATACGTGGCAAGGGATTTCAGCTTTTCTTCTTGTACCTGAATCCCCGGCCCTGGGAATCCTCATGTCCTTTACCCATCTGTCTACTGGGCAGTTAAGTCGCCTTGCTTCCCCTAGTTACCCTTGGGGATTGTTCTGCTATTTCATCTGGTTTGTGGGCATTTTCCTGAAGAATTAGAGTAGATATAATTGTGGCTTTTTGAACTTTGTGTAAAATTTTCACTTTAAAAAGGTATTTTCCACTATAATTTTATTCTGTATGGATATTCTTATCTGGGATTTAGCCCAAAAGGTAGTAAAGAGGCCAGATAATCAGCTTTTCAGAATTATTCATTGGGTCTCTAATAGATTATAGTTTTCCAAATTTCTCATTCAACCACAATATGGTTCCAGTCTTTCTTTTCCTTCTCCTCACTCACTACTCCTCACATGAACCTTCCATTTCAACCAAACTGAACTGCTCACTGATCACCAAAAACTTTTTATTTTCAGCTCACTTTCTCACACTGTTGGTTTCATTTCATTTGCTTAGGAAGCTTCATATCATATAGCTCAAAACCCAATTCAAATACTGTATCCTCAATGCTTTCCTGAGCCCTTCAGCCAAAAGTGGTCCCTTTTCCCTCTGTACTCCTTAGTCAATTTCCTTTTTTTATTATGAACTTAATTATCAATAAACACAAGCATTCCAATATAGAAAGAGGGGGGAAGAAAGATGATTGGAAGATTGTACATGAAATTATGAACTTCTACTATATATCATTTGTTTTTTAAAAATGTATTGTAAATTTAACAAGGTATCAACAAAATTGCCATTTCTATCCCTTTCTGAACTTTGGTTTTTTATGTCCATTTTTTGTTTTATTGATGATCTTTTCTTTTATTTCATCTCTATACCTTCCTATTAACTTACCTCTCCCTACCCCAACCCCATCACCAATAGAAGCCTTCCCTTATAACAAATACATACAGTCCCACAAAACAAATCAACACATTGACTGTGTCTTCTCTACACTTCTCTACACCACATCTCTCTTCTAAGAAACAGAAGCTCACCTGCTTTATCATCAGTCTTCTGTAATTATTATTGGTCACTGTGTGGGTGAGAATTCTGAAATCTTTCCAAATGCCTTGACATCTTTGTGGTCATATTGCAAATTGGTCCAGTCCTGCTTATTTCACTTTGCATTAGTTCATCCATAGCTTCCTAAGTTTCTCAAAATTCTTTATATTTGTCATTTCTTGTGAAACAAGAAAAGTGCTGCTATAAATATTTTTGTAGGTATAGAGTCTTCCTCTGAGGTCTTTGACCTCTTTGGGTCATATGCCTAATAGTGGTATTACTGGGTCAAAAAGTATATCAAGTTTAGTGACTTTGGGGCTGTAATTTCAAATTGTTTTCCAAAATGGTTAGTGCAGTTCGCAGCTCCAGCTGTGGTATCTTAGTGTGCCTGTTTTCTTTCTGTCCTTAAAGTATTTGCTATTTTCATCTTTTGTCAGAGTGCCAGACTAATGGATATGAGTTGAAATCTCAGAGTTGTTTTTAATTTACATTTTTCCTTTTATTAATGATATGAATCCTTCTAGTTTTTGATGAAACATTTCTGTTCTTAATAGATTTTTGTTCCTATCTTCTGACCCCTTATTGGGGACCAGCTCTTCTTCTTATATATGTGTATCAAATTCATAATTATTTAGAGATCAAACCTGTGTCAGAAATATTTGTTGCAAAGATTTTTCTCCCACTTAACTTCTTCTCTCTTAACTCTAGTTGATTTTGTCAGTGCAAAAATTTTTCAATTTTATGTAATTGAAATTGCCATTTTATTTTTTATGGTCACCTCTAGCTCTTATTTGTTTAAGTTTAGAATTCTTCCTCTAGCTATAGTTGGAAAAGATACTTCCATCTGTTCTAAAATTTTTTAAATGATGTGATCTCTTATATTTAGGTCATGTGTGCATTTGCGTCAACAAGTCAATCAATCAGAAATTATTTATTAAGCACCTAGCATAGCACTGTGTCAGGAGCTAGGAGTACAAATAAATTTAATGAAAGAATCCCTACTCAAAATAGCTTGTATTCTAACAGGAAAGATGACAAAGACTGTGTTTTATATGTGCTGTATTTAAGTATATACAGCATAAATATGAAGAGAAGAAATGTAAATAAAGTAGTTAAACAGAGGATGTCCCCAAAGTCTTCATGCAATTTTTAGCTTTAATGATTTAAAACTGTACTAAGACTTTTGTATCACAGTGTAAAAGGTGCTACCCATTGAGAGGATTAGGAAAGGTTTCACGTAAAAGGTGGTGCTGGAGTTTTGTCTTTAAGGAAGAGAGGTGGTGGAAATGAGGGGCAGGCATGTAGTGTCTTTAAGGGATAGCCAGGTCTCAGTGAAGTCAGTAGATTCTAATGGGGGAAACAGCAAGTACATATATAAATATAAAATGAATATAAATATAAATATAAACAACATGGTTATTTACAGGGTGGTTGGGGGGAAGGGCAATAACAGTTGGGGAAGGATCAGAAAAGGCTTCATGCAGAATGTGGTGTTTAAGCTGTAAAAGGAAAAGAAAAGACTCTTTGGGGCAAAGGGGTGGAGAAGGTAGATGCAGACAACGTCTAATGACAAGGCACAGAGATGAGAGATGGAGTATCATATGGGAGGAGCAGGCAGAAGGCCAGTTGACTGGATCCAAGCATGTGTGAATCACAGCAATATGCAGTGAGCCTGCAAAGATAGATTGGGGCCAGTTGTGAAACTAACTTGAGGAATTTACATGTGATATAGAGCCAATAGGGAGCCACTGCAGTTGATTGAGTAGGGCACTCCAATCGTCAGATCTGTACTTAAAGAAAATCACTTTGGCATCAGTGTGTAGGATGGACTAAACTAGTGAGAAATGTGAGGCAGGAAGACCATTGAGGAGGATGCTATAAATCCAGATGAGAGGTGATGAGGGCCTGAACTAAGGCAATACTGTGCGCTTTAAGAGAAGGAATTGGATGTGAAAGAAATGGCAAGATTTCCAACTGATTAGAGAAGTCTGGGATAAAGGAGAGTTAGGAGTCAAGGATAATTCTGAGGTTATGAACCTGGGGGACTGGAAGGAGGGTGAAAATAGGAAAGTTTGGAAGAGAGGGCTTAGGGGGAAAGATAATGAGTTGTTTTAGATAAGTTGATTTTAAGATATCTCTAGGACATCCAGTTTAATTGTCCAATAGGCAATTGGTGATGTGGCACTGAAACTCAGCAGAGAGACTGGGGTTGAATGTAATTATTATAACAGTATCATAATGGGATGGTGCTATTATAAAATTACATATATTTATATATGTATGTATAACGAAGAGTCATCAGCATAGAGATGATGGCTAAATCCATGGGAGCAAGTGAGGTTTGTAAGACAATGTAATAGAAGAAGAAGAGGCCCTAGGACAGAACACCGTCACGGGGCATGATCTGGATGATGAGTCAGCATTTGAGATTGAGGAATGGTCAGTCAGATGGAAGAGGCAGGTGAGAGCAGTATCACATAAATCCCGAGGGAAGAGAGTGTTCTGGATGAGGATGTGGGTAGGAGGGTCAGATGCAGAAGATGGGTCAAAAAGGAAGAGGACTGAAAAAAAGACCATTGGGTTTGGTAATTAAAGGGTCACTGGTAACTTTGGACAGAGCAATTTCATAAAGTGATGAGGTCAGAAGCCAGACCACAGAGGTTGAGAGTGAGAGAGAGGAGAGGAAGTAAAGGCAATGACTATAGAAAAGGTCTAGGCCTAATTTCTCCCAGAGGCTTTATGTTTTCCCAGATGTTTTTATTATAGGGAATCTGTACCCCAGCAGTTGCTATCGTTAACTTCAGTGAACACTGTACTGCTATGTTCAGTTGTTTCTGTCTTATTTCCCTAATATCTTCTATTTGCCAACTTTTCTGTTTTTTGACTAGGCCAAATTGTTTTTATGGTTACTGTTTTATAATATGGTTTAAGATCTGGTAGAGCTAGTGTGCCTCCCTTCCCCCCACCCCCTCCATACCCCTGGCCCCTTTATTTCTCCTTTTCTTGTTATTTCCCTTAAGATGTTTTACTTTTTGTTGCTTTGGCTGAATTTTGTTGTTATTTTGTCTTAATTCTTTTAAAGTACGCTGCTTCCTATTGTGGATCCTTCCCTGCATATTTCATCTTTCCTACCAGATTGTAAACTCCTTGAAGACCGGGACTATGTCTTGTACAATTTTCTTCACAGTAACACTTAGGACAGTGTTTTATACAGAGTGGACAATAAGTGAATATTTGTTGAATGACAGTAACTTTAAAGATTATATTTTTTAATGATCTGTATTTATTGCTTCCGGCTTTGTTTATAGTGTGAAAATACCTGCTGGGTAATAGAACCACTTGGAGAAAGGAGCAGTGGAGGGCTATAAAGGAGCAGTCATGCTCCACTGGCAGCATAGTGTTTTGCCAAAATTACAAAATAATGGGAAAAATAAGTGAAGGAGTTGGCTATATATGTGATCTTTAGTGGAGTTTGATTCTGTGATTTGATACAATAAAGTGAAGTTTCACTTCAAAAATTAATTCATCTTGGCAAGCACATGATGCTATCACATGGGTTAGAAATTGACTTGAAGAATATTCCAGATAGTTTTCTACCATATTCTTAAAGATTCCTTGGATAGGCAATTCCATGGGTTTTTTCGAATGAATGGAAACAAATTATAGACACATAGAACATATAAATGTATTTCATAATGATAAACACACTTCAATGCTAATGTTTTATTATAATTATATTTACATGTTATACATGTTTGCAATTTGTCTACTACCCACCCACCCCTGATTTCCACCTGTTGAAATCTTACCCATCCTTCAAGGTTCCACTAAATTTTATCTTATCCTTACAGTCAACTCTCTACCCCAAGTTAGAAAAGATCTTTCATTTTTACTCCAACACAAGACCCCATACTGATCCAGAAATCAGCTCTCCAGATTTGCTCAGATTTTTCTTTGATATTTTCTTTACATTTCCCCATTTTTCTTACTTGTTTTATAGTTACTTCTATACACATTCCATCCCCCTCCCCACATTAAACTGCAAGCTTCTTGAGGACAGGGGCTTGTTTTTTCATCGTGATATCTCTAGTACCTGGTATAGTGTCCTGTGCATAGTATTTAGGCACTATACAGTTGTTGGCTGAAATGAATTCATTCATTCACCAAAGAAACAAGGAACACCTCCTGTGTGCCAGGCCCAGTGCAGGATGAGGCTCGCAGGGTCAGGCTAAGATGACTAAGATGTGGCTCCTGTTTTCTGGCATTTGCCCAGCAAGCATTCAGCTGATCACATGATCGTTTCCCATAAACACGCTGTGTATTTTCCCTTTTCTTGTTTCCTTTTTTCCATGGTATGTTTTACCCTTCTGGGCCAGCTTTTCCTCTTCATTAGGTACAGGCCTCAACATTTCTGCTGCTTTTTGTCCAAGATCGTAAGTCTTCCTCCTTTCTGCTTCTGATTTCTTTTGAACAAAGCCCCATAAAACCTATTCTGTCTTCTATCTCCTGTCCGTTCTCTTTACTGTCTCCTTGCCAACTGGCTTACACTCTCTCTCAGTTATTTCTTTTCAATGGGTCAGAACTCTTACATTTTGGAACCTTTACTCTGCTGTCTAACTTAAATCTTTCTCCCTCCCTTCCTCTTCCCATTTCTAACCTAAGCCCAATCTCTCTGATACTTTTCTCAGTAGAAATGGAAAACAGACTATGATTTTCTACACAACACTCCTCATGTAAGTCCTGAAGATGGTTCCTTCTAACTTTATCTTCTTCAGTTCAATTTCAGGCTCTTGGACCTTCCTCACTTATTCTGCTTTCTAAGTCTTGAATCATCTTTATTGTCCTGCTCCATTGGAGACAGTAGTTTAATAAGGTGGCAGGGGGGTTGACATTAGGGATTTTTAAAATGATCTGGCCTATTAATATTTTGAAAGAGGACACCTAAGACTTACCAATATGCAGATGATACTAATTTTGGAAGTTTTGCAAATACCAGTGATGATGAAGTATAGAAAAGGACCTAAGAGACTTGAAATAAGGACAAGAAATAATAAAATGAATCTCAGTTTGAATAAATACTAATTGACACACTAGGGTAGAATCAATATGGAACTTAGATATTAAAGGAAAAGGGGAGTAATAATGTTCAATAGCATGACACAAAATTAGATTTGAAACTGAGGAGCATTTTGCCAGTGGGGGAAGAAATGATTATAATTATGGGCATGGGCAGCTCAGAAATTCTTACAATAAAGTAGGGGGAAAGCATTATTCTCTTCAGATGAGCTTGTGAAACCGTTGTCTTTGTTTATGATCCTTTGGCACCATGAAGGATGTGAGAGCCTAAGAATAACAGTAATTGTGTAGGAGAGTGGAGATTGAACTAAATAAGAGCCCTGGGTCAGGTATTCCCTTCTCTGTGAAGCGTCCCAGACCTGTCCCCCACCCCATTTGTTAGTGCTCTCCTGCCTCACATGTTCCTCTAGCACTTTGACTCATTTCTTCTTTATCCTACTTTGTATTAGTCCCTGCCTTGTAGTTCCTTATTTGTGTGCTTATTGCAGTTACATGCTGGAGTATGAGCTCCTTGAGGTCAAGGACTATTTTGTTTTTGTCTTTGTATCCCCAAAAGATAGCACGGTGCCTAGCACATAGTAAGCATTTAATACACAATTTTAATTGAATTTTCATCTCTAGAATTCCATGAGTCTGTGAAAAATTATTCTCATCATTTTTATATTGTTAACAATTGCACAAATATATAGTGTACTTGAGTATGAGATACTCAAATATATGTACTGCGGTTCATAGTTGTAACACACTTCGTGTCCATTTTCTTATATGACCCTCACAACCACCCTGTGAGGTAAGTAGGACAGTTTTATTATCCTCATTTTACAGGTAAGAAAGTGATGCATATTCCAGAGGTGGAAGAGTTATGTAGACCAGGACAGAGTGTTCTAACCAGCAGTCTTAAAAGGAAATCAAATGCACTCCAGATGTCAGGGAAAGTGTCTTGGTTTGAGATGTATTCGACTAGATCATGCTGGGTGAGTTAATGGCTCTCCTCAGAACCAAGGAAGTAACATTCTAAATGGCATCAAGGGGCCCTGAGAGAAGAAAAGCTAGGTCTTTCCTGCTCGCTGACTTTGGGTGAATTAGTATCTATGCTGTCGTTGCTCAGATGTTAAACTTCCTGAGGGTGGACATATTGAGTTAACTATATATGCTACCTGTTGTAGTGCCATATCTAGTCAGGTGTTTAATAAGCATTCACTTGATTTTGTGTCCAGAAATCAGTAGGATGTAAAGTGTGCAAATCATTAATCTGCCTATTTTCATTTTAAGGACATTTCTATCAGTGCCTCAGGTTACTAACTGGCAATTTTTATTTGTGTTTAAGGCCTTCAACTTAATTTCACAGCCTCTTGGGGCGACATGCATTACCTCGGGCTGACAGGACTTGAAGTGGTAGGAAAAGACGGTCAGTCTTTGCCGATTACATTGGATAACATGTCTGCCTCACCCAGTGATTTAAATGACCTTCCTGAATACACTGATGATTCCAGGACCTTGGATAAGTAAGTATCTCATAGACAGCAATTTCTGACTTAGCAGTGTTTGCTGTACATGTGACGAGTGAATAAAGTAGTGGATCTGAATTCAGAACTGTCTTAACTCCCCCTCATAGGCAGTGAAGACTTTGACTCTTCCTTGAATTTTGTCTTGACCAAATGGAGCTTGGTAGTGGCATAATTTTCATTGTTAAAATAGTAAGATATTTTAAGCTAAATAAGTGTTTTGATGCCTTCCAAGAAAAAGTTAGAACCTAAAAGAGGGAATATTGATCTAGGAAGACATTCTACCCTCCAGACTAAAGTCACACCAGGACCCAATATGGCAGCAATAGGGTATGTGGTACCGGAAATCTATCTTTAAGATGTCCTAACTGTTCTCCTGACTATTTGTTGTCGTTGTGCCAAGAATCTAACATCAATTCAACCTTGTGCCTTAATTTTTAACCAGGCTAATTATTTGCTGCTTATTTACAAGTTCCATTTCAGCTACCAGTAAGTAAGAGGTTTCCATATATCCGTAAGTGGATAGGACTTTTAAAATGCCCATGGCAAGGAGACTATCCTTGTGTCCAAATAAATTCATTTCTAAAAAAGTAGTAACCGCAGATATACATTCTGTTGAATCATCAGAATCTGGTGTAGTGGGAAGAATACTGGATTTGGAGTCAGAAAGCCTGGGTTTGAATCCTGATTCTGCTACTTATTAGCTGTGTGAACTTGGGCAATTATTTCCCCTCTCTGGGCCTCAGGTTCCTCATCTATCAAATGATGACCTCTGAGATACCTTCTAGCTCTAGATCCTATGGCTTCTATAAGACTGTGATAGTGGTATTTGATACTAAACCCATCAGGGACTGTTTTACCTAGTTTTTTTTTTCCCTGACTTTGCTCCCCCAGAGTCAGCACCAGGAGTCTTGATAATGGAAGGTAATACACAACTGCTTTAAAAATGGCAGTGAATGCCAGGGTGGCATCCAGAGCCATTACCACGTTGTATTCATCGTTAAGCCAAAAAGTTGCCATTATCTAAATTGCTGCTTTAAGACCTTCCAGATGAAGCAGGCCCCTGGGAATGGGAAAGAAGAGATTTATGTCAATTGTACCTTCCTAATGATCCCAGATTCAAAGCAGCAATTGACTTATGGCCCATGGTTGGGAGATGAGTTACTTTGGTGATGTATTTCTCTGATTTCTCTCCCATGGAATGCCTTTGATTCTGGAGCGTCTCCATTTCTTTCCCGTTGCAGAATAATACACAAGACACATACACACGCGTGCGCGTGTGCACACACACACACACACACACACACCCTGTCAGGGAAGAGCTGATGGAATTGTTTTTATGTATTTGCAGGTTAATAGATGGGACTAACATCACAGTGGAAGATGAGCACATGTGGCTGATCCCCTTCTCTCCTGGGGAGGATCACCTGATCACAATCTATTTTGATAAAGCTGAAAACATTGTGGGGCTGCGCTTTTGGAACTATAATAAATCTCCCGAGGACACCTATCGAGGGGTAAGCCAAAGAAAAGCGGTCTAGCCAGCAGAAATGTTCAATCGTCTGTCGTGGAAATAGCGCTTTGATAAATGACCAGAGCAGCTTTAGAAGAGCAGCATAAATCGTCTAGAACTTTCAGATGCCTAATTTTATGGCAGGAAGAATAACTTGCTGTTTTTTTTTTCTCTTTGCAAGCAGCAAATATGGCTTAAAGGGATCCGTCCAAATAGATTCAGAGAATCTTAGTATCCCATTTCCCCCAGGAGTCACAGCACAATGTAGTTACTACCTCTGTGTGATAGTATTGTGTTTCTACTAATGTCTGGTTGCTTGATTCTTTTGCCTTCTGCCATTTGATTTGGGAGAGTGTGATGCAAGGGAGAACACTCTGATCCGCTAGAGCAGGTTTGCATGTAGGCAACAGTATTCGAAGTTCAGTTTCCCAGGTACCTTTTAGCCTACTGTGTTGGTGCTTAAAAGCAATTTATTTTAGGAAGAACTTAAGAAGTTATAGGACTTTCCCCCCTTTTAAAGACAAACATTCTGACTGTTCAAACTTTTTGTGAAGAGTAAAAGAACTCTTAATATGAGCCTGCAAAAAGACTGCTACAGATCTTGGAGACACTGTGTCTCTATACATTCCCTCTAAGGCTTGGTGTTTCTTACAAGTAAAATGTGGTCATAAAGAACCCTTCTGCTTTGGTATTCTAAATTCCCATAAGCCATTTCCTGGCTTTCTAGTAGAATCTCTGAGAAAAGAAAAGAAGGGTCCAGGAGTGATTGACCAGAGTATAAACACTGCTAGCCCCTCCTATATAATCCTCACACAATTTTATCAATGACTTGGGCCAGGTGGGGAGTGAAGAGAGAGGAAGAGGGCACGTATTGCTCATAGATGGCAACTATCCCCACCATAGAACCATTTTTCTGTCACTCTGGTTGCTAATCCCATAACCACACTCACAAACATTTGCCGGCATATTTTTGTTCACTCTCCTTTGTTTCAAGAGAACTGTAATTCCTACTCCGAGGAAAGTCACCCATGCCACAAACAATAGGCCAATGCAATGACACAATTCTCAGAAACGCAGAATCTCTATGTTGGAAAGCAGTTCAGAAGCCTTCTAGTCCAACCTGACCCTGACCAAGAATTTATTGTACACCATCCCTGACAAATAGTCCATACAACCTTTGTCTGAAATCTTATTTCACTTTTAGATAATTCTAATTGGGGAGTCTTCTTTATACCAAGTCTAAATTGCCTCTGCACAACTGAAAACTGGTGACATGTTTCCATAAGTTTTCTCTTCTTTAGGCCAAACATCCCAGCTTTCTAAACTAACTGTCGTGTGTCAAGATCTTAAGGGCCTCCACTATCCGAGTCATCCTTCTCTTATGTCCTTTAGTTATTAATGTCTTTCTGAGAGTTGTGGGACTCAGCCACAGAAATCTAGGTGTGGTCAGTGGGATTATCACCTCCCTAGTCTTGGACACTGTGCTTTTCATAATGTAGCCTAAGATGTATTGACTTTTTGGTTATATATTACTCAATATATAGCCAATGTATCAGCTGCATGTGATTCAAATTGAGCTTGTATTCCTCCAAAATCCCTAGACTTTTGTCAGACAAAATGTCGTCAAGCAACATAACCTTCATCTTGTACTTGTGAACTTGATTTTTTTTGTATTCAGGTGTAAGACTTAACAGATATAACCCTGTTAAATATCACCTTACTGAATTTTGCCCAGTGTTGTAGGATACAAGTTCCTTTGTAACCTTATGTATTTTATTATATGCATTTAAACATTATTTTGAGGGGAGGGGATGGATCTGTATGCTTTACCAGATTGCTAAAGCGGTTACCACACACACACACACACACACACACACACACACACACACTGAAGAACCTCTGTTCTAAAGTGTCAGGATCTTTTTGGATTCCGATTCTTTTATCCAGTGGCATATCTATCCCTGCCAAATTTCTGTTATTGCCAAATAAGACATACCATCTATGTCTTTTTCCAAATCGTTCATAAAAATGGTAAATAGCATAAGGCCAAGCAATGATCCTTGAGGCATTCTAATAAACACCTCCTTCCAAAGTGACATTGAACCATTAGTGACTCCTCTTTAAATCTACCCATTGAACCTATTTTGAATCTGCTTTGCTTCATGCTTTTCTAATATAGAGGTAGCCAAAACATACTCTGACCACTTGTGGCCTATAACATTCCCAAATGTAAATATGGCCAGAATTAGATTAAAATAGAATTGGAAAATATTTAATAAGATAAATACAAATACAATAAAACATAGATAACATTGCGTTTTAAAACTAAGTCAATATGTGGCCCACAGGGATCCTCATGTATGCATTAGTGGCCCCTATTTTTATTTGAGTTTGACACCGCTGGCCTAGCCCACATATCTCTATCATTTTTCTCAGAATGGCATGAATGACTTTGAAAATGCTTTGCTAAAATCTAGGTAAACTGAATTCACAGCATTACCCTGATCTACTAGTCATTTCTAAAGGAAATGAGATTAATCTGGCATGACCTTTCTTGATGCCTTTACTGATTCCCTTTTCTCAATGTTCACTAAGTATCCCTTTAATAATATATTATAGAATTTTTCAGAAATCAAAATTAAGTTCACTGGCAAAGTTTGCAAACTTGGTCCTCTTTCCTTTTGGGAGAAAATTGGTATGTTTGCCTTTCCCCAGTTCTGTAGTACTTCTTTCATTTTCGATGATCTTTCAGAATTCAGTGATAGTGGCTCTTCAGTTACAGCTCCCATTTCTTTTAGTATCCTGGAATGTAGTTCATAAAAGCCTAATAACTGAACTAATCAAGAGCAGCTAGGTTCTTTCTTACTGTCCCCTGTCTTATTTTGGGCATCTATTCCCTGTTAGCCATTTTTCTTCTATCATTTTCAGTCCAAAGCATATCATCTTTGACTAAGAAAACGTAATAATAATTGAGCAGATCTTCAGGCTCCCCATCATCCATTATCATTGTCCCATTAACCTCAAAATCAATCCTGTCCTTTCTTTGATCCTTCTCTTTTCCCCTAGCTTTTAAAAATATTTCATTGTTCTTGGCTTCCCTTGCCAGTATTGGCTCATTGAGAACTTCAGCACTCCTTGACGCTATACTTCTGGGCAGAAGACCTGGATTCAGATCCCAGGTCTCCTCTTTACTCCTTGTGTGACCTTGAGCATATCATTTAAGTTCTCTGGACCATCCTTTCCCAGCTCGAAAATGAGGAGGTTGATGTATATACATATATGGCCTCTGAGTTCCTAAGCCTCTAAGGCTTATGATCCTGTGAAAAGTCAAAAGGAGAATCTTTCTTTAATATCATATAGTTTTCTACTTCCAGGAGAAAAGAAAAGATTGCTACCTAGATTAAATTACCATATCAAAACTTGCTCCTGTCCCTTTTAGACTAGAGTCTTTTCATCATTTTGTGTCATGGTGTCCTCTGGCAGTGAAGCTTGTGGGAACCCTTCCCAGAAAAGTAACTGAAGGAAATGCTGAATTTCAGGAGTTAATGAAAATAAAGATGATTTTTTTTTCATGCAGATTCCAAGACTCCCTAAAATCTGTTCAAGGATTTTAGGGATCCGTAGACTTTATATTAAGAACCTCTGCTTTCCACTGTTAATGTTTTATTACCCTTTCTCTTCAGAAAAAGAAAGAAAGAAACTACCAATATATTACAATTTGTTTTTATTGTTTTGGTTTGGCCTGTGATTTCATTGCTGGAGGGAAGTCCCCGGTTCGGATCCTCCCTCTCCTAGTGTACATTGGTGATTGTTCTATGACTTAGTTGGATAGGTAGACTAAGCTTTTATTAAACACCTATTACATGCCAGACACTGTGCTAAGAAGCACTTTACAAACATTGTCTCTTTTGATCCTCACAGCAGCCCTGTGAGGGAAGTTCTATTATTATCTCCATTTTAGATCAAGGAAACTGAGAGGGGCACAAGTTAAGTGATTTACCCAGAGTCACACAGCTGGTAAGTATCTAAGTCTTAGAGAATTGCCAAGAGGTGAATTGACTTGTCCGGGATCATACAGAAGCCGGACTGGCATCAGGGCGTTCTTCTGAGGCTGGTTCTTTCCACCACACCACACTGCCTCCATGCTGGAACAGATTGGCTTGCCCACTGGCACAGACAGTTTGGAGACTCGTATTCTCACCTCAGTTGTGGCTGTATTTGTTGACCAGTGTCTCTGCCATCTTGCTTCTCTTGTTAAGTACTGTAGGCCTAATGACGCTGGTCTTCGACTTGCTTCCTCAAAGTATTATGTTAATTGCCTAGGCCCTCCTGGTATATAAGCTATTCTGAGAGACACCTGTGTATTTGTAATACTTAACTATTTCAGAAGGTATGTTATTTCATCAGTGAAGATGCTCCAAGAGGTGACTGGAGTACAATATGTAAAAATCCAAGAATTTGGAGTCAAAAGTTCATACTCCGGCTCCATTACTCACTGGGAGTTTAGACAAGTCACCTAACCTCTCTTAGCCCTAGTTTCCTCATATGTAAAATGAGGGAGTGGAACTAAATGAACTTGAAAGTTGCTTCCAGCTCTGATCTCATCAGGCTAGATAATTGCGCTATATCTAGTAAGATAAAATGTGACAGAGATAAATGTAAAGTCTTATACTTGGATGCAAAAAATCAATTTTCATAAGTATAAAATGGGGGCACAGTGGCTAAACGAAAATTTGTCTGGAATTGTTTTTGTAGACTACAAGCTCAGTAGGCACCAAGCATGTAGCATGGCAGCTAAAAAAAAAGACCTAATGCAGTCTCAGGCTGTGGTAGGAGGCATGGTGATAGTCCCATTCTGCAGTGCCCTGACCAAGCCATGTGTGTAGCAATGTGTTCAGTTCTGGGCATCCCATTTCAGGAAGGACATTGATAATCTAGAGTGTCCAGGGGAGGGGGACTATAATAGTAAAGAGGAACTGAAAGTGTTTGGCCTAGGGAAGAGAAGACCGTAAGACAACATGATAGCTAGCTTCAAGTATTTGACCAGATGGCACATCAAAGAGGGAGAGAGTAGATTAGTTCTGCTCAAAAGAGAGAACTAAGAATTGTGTATAGACGTTACAAAGGGGACATTCTGGACTTGGAGGCAGGGAAAGTGTCTATTAGTAAAAGCTTCCTAACAGAGCTGTCCAAAAATAAATGGGCTGCCTTGGAAGATAATGGTTTCCCTCCCTTTCTAAGTCTTCAACAAAGGACAGATGGCCATTTGTCAACTATTTTTATTCTTAAGAATATTCCTGTTCAGGTACAGGTTGAACTAGACCATTTCTCAGATTCCTTCCAACTCATAGATTCTGTGATTCCATGGGATTTGTCTTGTGTATGTCTAAGTTCCTAGACACAATTATGTATTTGAAACGTGTTAGAGAAGGAGATATCATTTCTCTTATACACTGCTTCATAGGACATTCTCCATATTTGCAATAACTGTACTTCAGGAGTGATCTATTAAGACAACTTGATCAGTTAGCGAGGAACAGTTCAAAGAGTGCCGAAGACTGGTGGGCTTCCGAAGAACTGGATTTGAGTCCTGGTTCTGCCAATTTTCAGCTTTGTGATTTTGAGCTTGTCTAAGTTTTCCTTGGTTGTAAAATGGGGATCTTAATAGTTGTGCTACCTCCCTCATACATTTGTTTGTGAATAAAGTGCTTGGTACCCTGGAGAGCACTTGAGAAATATGAGCCACAGTGGTCATTAGAGAATAGGGCTGTTTGGAAGGTAGTCCCAAGACATGTAGGAAAATGGAGATAGAATTATTACAGTAGGATGCACTAAGCTGCCACTATTATCTTTCCTTCTAGTCCCTGTTTCGTCCAAGTTTCCTGTGACTCTTGCATTTCAGGAACACATGGCAAGTGACACAAAGGAGGCTGGATAAATATAGCGAGGATGGAAAGCGGCATATGGCCTCAGAATTGGGAACAAGGCTAATGAAATATTTTTGCTCTACAAAGACCATAGATCCAAGTGTTTCTAGAGATGGCGTGCACACTGCTTCTGGAGCACGGCCTGAGAGTTGGAATCCCTAGTCATTTGGGGAGAAGGGTCTGCTTTTCATTGTACCAAAGGCTGGAGATCCCAGAGCAAGGAGGATGGGTTTGTAGGGACGGTAGGGAGGGGAAGTCTCTGAGAACAGTGAAGAGGACTGGGAGGATACTGAGAAGAGGACAGTTCCATTGTGGATGAAGACAAATATTTTGACAATCTTCCACTTGAGTTTAGTGATCTACCAATAGACTTTGATCTACAGATGCAGTACCCCATTATGTAGAGAGCTGATTCTGTGCATGCTTCGGGGAAAGGGTACATCAGGTCTGACTGGCCAGTCACTTACCCTGGACTAGCTTGGGTTTTGCTTTTTGGTTTTTGTGTGCTTAGCAAGCATCATCACTTTAGTTGACCTCCTAGAAGTAGGCCATTGAGCTTCTCCAAGGGCTAGAGATCATTCAGGGCATCAGCTATAAACAGAGCTGTGGAAAATGCCCTCAAGGAGGAATCAGCAGATCTGGGCCCAATCCCAGCTCTGCCAGTTTCCAGCTGTGTGACCTTGGATAAGTCACTAACCTCTCTGAGCTTTCTTTTTCTCATTTGTCAGAGATAATAATGCTTATCCTCTCTTCTGTTCAAGGTTGTTTTGAAAATCAGATGAGATGGTCTATGCAAAAAATATCATGAACTGAAAGGACAGGCATGGAGACTGGTCCTGTGATCTCAGTGACACAGGGAACTCCCAAATGAGGAAACCCTGTTTGCCAATACAAGCCAGTACCTTCTTGCAACTTATAGTCTTAGAGTGTTGCCTAAAGTGCCTTAAGGGCCAGGAGGGGCCGGAGGCACAGCGCAGCTCCAGCCCAGAGCTCCCTGACTCCACAGCTGGCTTTGGCTCTCCCAGGCTACACTGCTTCTGTGTAAATGCCAGCTACTGAGCCATGAGGGTGACCCTAAAGGGGCAATTTGGACTTAAAGTGCAGTCTCCGCAGCAGGAGAAAAACAGGGCTAAGCCCGAGTAAGATGAAGGACTTTATGGGAAGTATTCTGCATGTGGGCTCCTTTCTGTGAGCAGTGGTGTAAATGTGGATCCGGCATGAAGTGTTTGAAACAATGGGTTGTCTCCCTAGGTCAAAGTAGTACACGTGCTGCTGGACGGCCAGCGTATCTCCCCACCATTGGGCTTCCTCATCCGCAAAGGGCCCGGCCACTGTCACTTTGATTTTGCTCAAGAAATTCTCTTCGTTGACTATTTGCAGCTCCAGACAGCGACAAGACCGTCACGGAGGTAAGCGGGGAGAGGGTATTCACTGCCGCTCATATAGCTCAACTGGGAACCGTGTTTCTTTATATGTTGCTTTGTGATCCACACCTAAGGCTTTTACAAATGTCTTACCTTTGAACTTGTCTGTTTCCTAAAACTTAGCTGGGCCTTTCTCCTTCCTAGAAACCCTAGAATAGATACCCCACTGTACTGTTTTGAGAAGGCTTTGGTTTTTCTCCTCCTCCCCTTCCTGCTGGGGAGACCATCCAGAAGATTTACTAGATTTCCATAGCAGGCACCAGAAGAGTGTATCTTCCCACATATTTGTTGTTTAGCATTCAGTCAAACACATGAGAACATTTGACAAATCAATATTTCACTGAGAAGAGAGGCGGGCATTTCATGGACCCTCTCCAATGTTTTTGGTCCTTGTTCTTTAGCACCTTAAATGCCCGCCATTTTGTAGATGGCACATTCATTCATTCATTTAACAAATATTTACTAGTGCCTGCTACACATAAGGCCCTGTACCCAGAATCATGCAGGGATATTAAGATGAATAGAGTCCTTCCTCTAACTGAGCCTACAGTCTAGTGTAGGTGAGCTAAGACAAGGAAACGTGATTCAAGGCAGGAGCTGCTGCAAGAGAAATAAGAGAGAAAGACCTTTAGGTCACTGGAGACCCTTCCATCACTAAAACATATGATTCTTTGGATTAGGCTTAATTCTGACTCTGTTGCTTGCTGTATGACCTAAGTCAAATCCTTTTCCCTCTCTTTTTCTCAGTTTTCTTACCTACAAAATGGAGAGGGTTGGCCTGGATGATCATCTTTCAGCTTTAAATCCTATCTCTGTTCCTTTAAGTACTGTGGAAGTTCAGAGCAGATAGATCTCTATCTAACACTGGTATTTGAAATTATCAAGGAAAATTTCTTAAAGGGTAGAGATGAAGGAAGTGCCTTCCAGACAGAAGGAAGAGAATGAACAAAGGCTTGGAGGTGGGAATTCTGGGATGTCTTTGGTGAATGAGTAGCCTAGTTTGGCTGGAGTGTACAGTTTCATGTAGGAAAACACTGGAAAGTAAGGCTGGAAAGGTCATAGAAGGTCTTAAGAGATTAGACTTTATCCTATAGACAGTAACAGTTTGATCATTTAAACACCTAGTGGTTGGGCACTCATAATAAAATCAGCCTAAATGGAAACGTGGACTATTTCTTTATTGGATTATTGATGCGTAAAGCTCATATACGCAAAACACAGCACATAAGCCAATAACTGACCTGGAATAGGACTCAGGCTAGGATAGGACTAAAGGTTTCTCCATATCAAGGTAAGGACCATGTTCTGGACAATTACTGAGTTGATGGAACTGAAATTGTAAAATAATGGTGGAGGTGACTATAGGCAGCTTCAGCTTTGTCCTGATACTGATTATTCTAACACACTGTGATAATAGTCCTTACGCACTGTTTTATATTTTAGCAGGACTAACTTAAAGAATACAGAGCAAGCCAGCATGGACTATGAGGCCCCATTGATGCCATGTGGCTGTATCCTTCTCTACTAAGCTGTCACACCAAGGGAAGTGGAGTCAAATGGGGTAGTCATTGTCTCCTTACAGGGTTTCAGAACTTTGTTATTTATAGTAATTTTCTCCTGCCCTATTTCAAGTCCCAATTCAGGGGGAGAGAGAGAGAGAGAGAGAGAGAGAGAGAGAGAGAGAGAGAGAGAGAGAGAGAGAGAGAGAGAGAGAGAGAGAAGAGAGAGAGAGAGAGAGAGAGAGAGAGAGAGAGAGAGAGAGAGAGAAGAAGAAGAAGAAGAAGAAGAAGAAGAAGAAGAAGAAGAAGAAGAAGAAGAAGAAGAAGAAGAAAGAGAAAGAGAAAAGAGAGAAAGTTTTATAAATATATTATACTTGTACTTCATGCACCTATATATGTATATTCTTTAGATATGTTTCAGGATATTGCATTCAACACCAAAAGCTGTCAAGTTTACAGAGTTTCCCTACTTAACTAAAATGAAATGCTACATTCATTTTATGCAGTGGAAAGAGTCTTGACCTTGGAAGAGGAGACTGAATTCAAATTCCAGCTCTACTACTGACCAGCTGTGCAACCATAGGAATGAGACTTAATGCTTCTGTGCCTTACTTTTCTCATCTGCAAAATGGGGAAAATAATACCTGTTGCCACCAACATCATAGGGCTAGTATGAGGAAAGCATTTTATAAAGTTTAAAATTCTTACTATTATTATTATTATTATTATTATTTCTTCACTAAAGTCTTCCCCTGCTGCCTCAGGGTAGTATGAGCTAGTCTCGGTTCTTGAAAGCCGTGCCAACAGAGTACAAGCTCTGACAGGCCCACCCAGCTGGAATCTTCCAGTGCCAGCCCAGAGATAGATTGTGTATAGCTTGAGGACCAATCTAGCCAGGTTCAGAAATGTTCATTACCAGGAAATTGGCCTAATAAATATTTTAGGCCACCAAAGTTTATAAAAACCATTAAGGTATAGAGGAGTTACAGGCTGCTGCATCTATACTAGTTCCTTGAGGTATTAAAGAATTATTACTGAACATAACTCAGCATTTATTAAGCACCTGCTGTGTGCAAAGCACTGTGCTAGACACTGGGGATACAAAGCTAAAGTCAGAACAGGGAACTTTCCTTCAGGGAACTTTCATTTTACCAGGAAGAATTATTAATCTTCTATTGATGAAAAAAAATTTCTTACAGCTTATAATTCATCTGATTACACAGTCTTCTAGGGAAAAATCATGTGGACTGGGCATGATAATGCCTTAATTTTCATCTCTGACAATGACTTCATAAGAGAGACTGAAAAGGACCACACTGGGGTTGGTCAGGAAGGCCCACTGAAGCAGGAAAAGGTGGGATTAGTGAAGGGGTCACCTCCAAGAGCTTCTTCACCATAGGATGATAGTATTCTGATAAGTGATCTATCCCACCTCTATGTCCTTCTTCTGTACTTAGTGAGGAGTGGATGGGAAGTGGCAGTGAATAAAGTCACACCTTCCCTTTGTGCCAGAGGTTCCTAAACTTATTTGGCCTGCTGCTCCCTTTTAAAAAAAATTACTCAGTACCCTCCTAGAAATCTACTTTCTTTAATTCTTTACAGTTTTTTTGAAATTTGCATCATTTCAAAGCCATATATATATAAAATGACACATCTTAAATTTAATAATTTATTGTAAATTTTGGGGTTTTTTCCTGTATTGAAATTTTGATGACACAATATTTCATTATGTAACTGTATAGTACCATGTTGTAAATAAGTCATTACACACACATATTCCTGCAGATGTATACTGGACTTCCCGATAGTGCACAGCATGCTGCCAACACTTGCTTGTTAAGACCTGTCAGTGAACTTGACCACTGATTGCTTATAACTCGCATTTTGTGTGTTTATTTGGAAAATAATGTAATCACTACAACTTTAACTCTGTTACGCAGCAGGTGAGACCTGTATAAACATTTTTTTCAAAATTTTCTTATCTTCTTTCTTTATGCTTTCACCCCCTCCTTATTCAATACCCTTAATTGCACCTGAGGCTACTTCCTCTAGCACCCCCCCAGGGAATGGTATCACCCACTTTGGGAAGCTGCGGTCTGTGCTTCACAATCCTTAGCTATCTGGAAGGATTAACCCTGACAATGATTGTGCTAATAGCACTTTGCCCAGTATTTATAGTGGGTCACTTCTGAAAAGGCCAAAATGGCATCCATTTAATCTCATTTGATAACTGACAGGAAAGGCGGAGCAGTTGTTCTCCTCATTTTATAAGTAAGGAAACTGAAGCCATGAGGTCTCACAGGGGATCAGTTACCAAACCGGGATCGGTGCTTCCGTCTGCAGACATGTGGTGTTCATCCTGCCTTGTTTATTGTACCTCCAGCACCTAGCAGAGTGCCCAGCACATAGTAGGTGCTTGATAAGTGTTTGGTTGTTGAGTAATTGAGATGAGATAGTACAGGTATTATTGTCTCCATTTTACAAATGAAGAAAATGATGCAGCTAGTAAGTTAAATTAAAATTAAAAATTAATATCACCCAGAGAGCACTAGAGAAGCATATGGTGGGGGTGAGTAGGCTGCAATGCATTGTGAACAACGAATTCTGAAGGAGGTTCAGAGTAAAAAGATGTAATCAGAGAAATGTATGTGAAAGAAAAGGAAGACAGGCTGGTTCTTCAGCAAGAGTAAGGGAGAGACACAGCCCATGTGCTCTACTGACGTCTTTAGGAAGTCAGGAGGAGTCTAGGAAGATCCTCAGCATGGCAGATGCAGCACCACACCCCCTTCCTTCCCCCATCCCTGCCAAGTCCTGGGGAACTTCTTGTAGGACCTGGACGAGTCACCTAAGGTGAGAAGACATGGACAAGTGGTGATGGGAGGCACCTTGGGAGGGAATGGCCACATCAGTTAGATCACAGATCCATCTGCATATCAGTATCTGGGTATGTTAGACCTGTAGTCTTCTGATTAAAGATCCAGTGCTCTTCCCACAGTTTCTTGCTGTGTCTCTTGAACAACCATAGCTTTGAAATATTTGAGAGGCCTCAGCCCCAGAGGAGAAAATTCCTTTTTTCTTACCAATCTACAGTTTTAAATGAACAAGGAAGCTCGTCCATCCCTTACTGTTTTTACTTTATTCTCTAAAAAAATTTAAGTTGCTAGTCCTTAATAGCCTATCGCAGTCATCTTCCAGTTTCAACTTCTCACCAGCTGGGGAGATCCATATTACATCGGCCTGAATGGACTGGAGCTATATAATGAACATGGAGAAAGAATTCCTTTGACTGAAAACAGTATCCTTTATTGTACAGAATGACCCGTCCTCCCACATTGAAGGGGATGTAGGAGGTTGGGAGGGAACAAGTCAGTTACATTGCATGTCAGTGTCAAGTTTTATTTAAAAAACTGCCACCTCATTAAATATGCTTCTGAGACAGGAGATTTCATCCTGTCTCTGGTTCTTGAAAATTCTAATGAACTTTTGGATCAGAGTCAGGTCATATCTCCCTGGGCAGCCCCCCTGATTAGAGCCACCCCATACCACCTGGTTCAGAGCTGCTATGGGTCACACTGGCTCTGGGGGATTGGCTAGAACTTCATGCCCAAATATGGGACCACGGTAAATGACCCAGTTCCTGGCCTCTTATCTGGCCACCTCCACCACCAAAATGGTGATGCTCTTGCTGGAGAGAGGCCCATTAGACCTGGAGGCATTCCTCCCACCATGCTCCTGCTGTGACTAGGGAAGTGGTTTCAGGTTATCAGAAATGTCAGGCCACTTTTCTGCCTAGGTGATTACTGTCAGTTCCTTCTTCTCCAGATTCCTCTTCTAACTCTTCCCCCCTACTCCCTCTCAAGAAACCCCCACACTTCTAAATGTTCCTTTCTCGTTTAATAGTCTTTTTTCCTTCCCTCATCTTTAACAGTTCTGGGAAGCCCAGATGTATCAGTCAACCTTTTGGCCAATCTCCTCTACTTTATTCTTCTTAAGACTGGCCTGGCCCACCCCCTGTGCTCTTGTTCCTTTCTGCCTTCACGCACTCTCATTTTCTCTTGAACATCCCTAATTTGGCTGTCACTTCAGCAGCTACCAGGACTGGCACGCAGCAGCTCCTGCCTGCCTGGTACTTTGGCCCCACACTCCCCTGAGTTCTCCCATCATCTTGATGTAGGCTGGCAGATATAGATTGGAAAATGGTGTGCTGAGTACTTCGTTTGGGTTATTACAGCTTAAAGGTTCACCTCAGACATTGCCGCTTTCCCAGACAGTGTGAATACCCTAGAGGGGGTATGTGGAGATGTCCGAACTCCAGACAAGCTCATTGACCAAGTGAATGACACCAGTGATGGCAGACACATGTGGCTGGCCCCAATTCTCCCTGGCTTGGTAGGGTCAACCAATAGCATATACTGTCTATTGTAGCATTCTGATGTTTGGTGGAAAGTACGTTTTTTATTTTAATTTAGTATATGTCAAAGGTAATGGAAAGAGCCCTGGATTTGGGAGTAAGAAAAATGGGTTTTTAATTCTGGCTTTGTTACCAAATATCTATGTGACCTTGGGCAAGTCCTTTTATCTCCGTGAGCCTCAGTTTTTCTATTGATAAAGAGAAGAGATTATTATCTAGTCTACCTCACAGGGGCATTGTGAGGATCATATTGTGTGTAAAAGGTCCACTATAGAAATGTGAGGGACTCCTAAGTCCTTGTTGCCGTTACTGACAGCTGAGGTCTCAGGTTCAGCCTTACTATGTGTAGCCCTTGCCATCTAAAAAATGAGTCTTCACAGCCATCACAGCATCTGGAGGAAAAAGAACCCACGGTTTTGGTGTTCTCCATACCACCAGGCCAGACCTTTACCTCAGGTTCTGTGTGATAGGGACCTAGTGGCAGGGATTCTGTGGTCCTGCTGTGGTTGTCCTAAGGGATTAGAGAAAGGAGCAGAACTGGCTGTTCTATGGCTACTGTTTTCTGAAGATAGCCTCAAACAGGAGCTGTCCTGTGTGCTCCACACCCTCACTGATGTTTCAAATCTGAGGGTGCCAAGCTCCCTTTGACTTTTATTTTTGCAAATCAGAAAAAAAGCATGAAGTTGTTATAGGCTTGTAGGATTTAGAGCTAAAAGAGATCTCAAAGAGCATCTAGCCCAGGCCCCAGAGGCCCAGAGAGATGTAGTCTGCCCAAGGCCACACATCAATTATGTGGCACAGCCAGGATTTGAATTCGTTTCATCTGACTACAAATATGGAGTTCTTTCCCCTGACCTAGCATACCCTGATGGACACTAGGATCTGAAAAGAAAGTACTGCCCGAGTACTAGAGGAGATCAAGGCCTGTCTTCCAGAATGGAGACAAGCCTGACTTGGGAGTTGGGAGCCCCAGCTTCTCATCCCCAATCTCTTCTTCCCTCTTTGGGGCTCAGTTTACTACTGTCACTGGAGAGGGGCCCAGATGATCTACACGGTCCCTTCCAACTCCATATCCTACAGTCCTTATGATCCATGACAGGAATGGAAAGTTAAAGTTGATTTCCCTCATCCATCCCTGGAAATTTACCATCTCCTCCCACAGCTCTGCTTTTTGTGACACATTCTCCTGTCAGGGTTTAATGTGTGGTCTGTGGGTGAAGGGAAGGAAAGCTAAAAAGCAGCCATTGAGTTAGGAATACTTACCTTCCTTTCTGGTGGCGTATTCACTGTTGCTGGGCCCCAGCTCCTGGGCTGGGGGAAGTTAGGATGGACGGGGCATTACGAAGCCTCCCCAGTAATGGAGGGAGGGAGATGTGAGCACCTGAGAAAACAGCTCCTCAGAGAGCCTCGTCAGCATTTTGCTGTTTGCTAAGGCTGTTGTGACAGAATGCAGCCATGTGTGACAAGGCTGGCTCTTGGCTCTCAGGAGACTAAAGGCCCAGGGTAAACAGACAAACAGGAGGAGGAGAACCTGGTGTCTTGGTGGAATTCCAGAGCCCAGTGGGACACACTCTTCTTGGGATTCTGGGTTTGGAGTCCGAGGACTATGATCTGGATTCTGGCTCTGCCCCTTGCTGCAGAACCAAGTCCTTCAAGGCTTCACTCAGCTGCCCCCTTTTATGGGAATCCTTTTCCAAATCCTGCTGGCTGTAGGCGACCTCTCTGGGGCTCAGTTTCTTTCTACAAAATGAGGGTGTTAGAATATGATCCCCCAGGTCCCTTTCATCATTAAATCCCATGGTCAGAAGCTTCTCTGCCTGCAAAAGTTTAATCTCTGCTTTAGCATTATTTCCCTCTTTCTCAGCAGTGTATCTCTCTACCCTGAGCCCACCCTTGGCCTTCATGACTCTGTCAGTTCCTTTCTGTTGGCAAATGTATCTGCTTGAATCAAGTCTTTCCTCCGACAGGTGAATCGGGTTTACGTGATCTTTGATCTGCCTACCACTGTGTCTATGATCAAATTGTGGAATTATGCAAAAACTCCCCATCGAGGAGTAAAGGAATTTGGAGTAAGTACTTATTATGCTGGCTGCTAGTTGCCCCTTGGCAAGTATATGACTTTTTTCATTTAGTTGCAACTTTGGGAACAAATGTCTGGTCTGCCAGGATATGAATACTCCCCACTGTGAACTTAAGATGTAACAAGGAGACCAGGTTTCCTCTTGGGACACAGGTCCCTGGTGTCAAGCCCTTCTGACTATGCCCAGCTGTCAGGCTGCTCCTTTGCATCTGTGGGACTAGGAAAAAATCAGAAAGTCATAGTTATGTCCTTGAAAGATGTGATTCCAAACTTGGAATCATGACCTGGGTTCAAGTCCTAGTGCTGTTAACTCCGCAGCCTCTTCCCCTGCCCTTGAATTCTGTACTCTGCTCCTTTGAAGCCATGCCATCTCTTGGGAGGTGGTCTTTATTCACAGAGTCTGTAGAGACTTTTCCCTTTAAAGGTTACATCCTTTAAACACCATCTCACTCAAATAGCTGTGTCTTCATCTTTGTGACTGGAGATTTAAAAGGTGTCTCCCAGGGTTGGGAGAGGGTGGCCCCCATCTTTATTCCTCTACAAGTCTAATCCATGTCACTGCCCTGCTTGAGGACCTTCGGTGATTTCCTGGTGCCTCTAGGAGAAAGGACAAATTCTTTGGTTAGGCATTTTCAGTCTGGATCCAGCCCATCTGTCAAGACTTTCATGTTGTTCCCCTTCAAGCACTGTACACCCCAGCCAAGTTAGCCAATTTTCTGTTCGCCATACATAGCATGGCGTCTCTTGCCTCTGTGACATTGTATAAGCTGCCCTGCCCACCATGCCCAGAACCATGCCCCTTCTTACCTCTGCCTTTCCGAATCCCTGCCTCCCTTCAGGGCTGCATCAGATGCCACCCCATCCCCCCAGTTATTGTGTACTTACTAATTATATATTTTACATTGACAACTCTCCATGTTGTTCCCCCACCCCCCACAGGCCAGGGACTGAGTCATTTTTTCCTTTGTAGCCCCCTCATCAAGAGGTGGGGAACCTGTGGCCCTCTAGGTCCTCAAGTGTGGCCCTTTGAATCCAGATCCCCAGGGGATTTGTTCTGTGAAGTTTGGATTCAGTCAAAGGGCCACACTTGAGGACCTAGAGGGCCACATGTGGTCTCGAGGCCACAGGTTCCCCACCCCTGCCCTTAGAGGAGTGGGGCCTTTTGCCCAGGGTTGACTACCTACTTCCAACTAGAACGGTGTCCTTAGAAGAGACTAATGCCACCCACTTACCCTGGCCAACATCCCCTGCCTTAACAACCTACCCCTGGTCACCACCCAGAGGCCACTAATTCAGGACAGTCTAAAGAGTGCCTCCCTAACAACTTAGCCAAACAACTTAGAGTGGAAGTGTTAACCTCCCATCCGGTGTTATCCTTCTCCAGAATCTCGACAGATGGTGATTACTACTTCCTAAGGCAGCCTGTTATATTATTGGATAGCACCTCCATAGTTATATTGAGCCAAAATTGGTTTCCCTGTAACAGCTCCTTATTGGTCCAAGTTTTACCCTCTGGAGCAAGTTAAAGCAAATTTCTTCCTCCTTCTCCACTTGGTAGACTTTCAGGCAGCCTTTCATGACCATTCTCTCAGTCATTCCTCTTAAGCCCCAGTTTCCAGATTCAAATCAAGTGGTAGCTTTGGGTAAGATGGCAGCTACCCAGTGAGGGGGATGGGGAAGTTTCAGGGCATACCGCTGTAATGGCCCCATGTGAGGAGGTATCATGGGAGCAAACCAAAGGTCTTTCTTGTGCCTCCTTTTATCATTTATCATTGTTTACCACTACCATTGTCTTTTTACCTCTTCTTTCTCTAGCTTCTTGTTGACGACTTGTTAGTGTACAATGGAATCCTGGACATGGTCAGCCACGTGGTACATGGCATCCTGCCCACCTGTGATCCCATAGTCCCCTACCACACCATTCTCTTTACAGAGGACGAGGAGATCTGCCACCGAGAGAAGTACACCATTATCAGGTTTGTGAGCAGTCCTTTCTGGGGCAGGCTTCAGTAGGCTGGATGGCGATTCTCAGAGAGGACTGATGACAGCCATGTCTTAGCCCAGAAGATGGATTGAATCTCCCCATTTTCTTTCTTCTGCAGTAACCATGTTGAGGATCAGGATGTCCGGATGATGAATGAAAATCAAATTGTTACCAACTCCAAAAAGAAACAGACGACTGCTGACCCAGGTCAGTTTCATTTCTCTCACAGAGAGCCTTCTATCTCTTACTTAGTGTTTGCCGAAATTGAGACTGAGTCAGAGCTCATCACATAAAGCCTCTATTCCCCAAATTTCTCATCCCCTTCTCAATCCAAAGTCAATGTGTTCCTGACACTGGCCAACCTTAGACTATCAGGATGATTAGGTGATGTTGGCAGGTGCTTTGGAAGGGGACCTTTCTACTAGCATGTCTTAGCACTAAATCATATGGCAGAGCCCTGATTAACCAGCGTATTTAGGGAATGGGATGTCCTGGTTAATTACATTTTTTAGATAACTCAGACTTAGCCAGAAAACCTTTGTTGTCAGTGTTTATTATGGAAAATCTTTCTAAAACATATCCATCCCAGTCTTTGTGAAGGCCAAATGGTAGACAGAACTAAATCCTTCTTTTAATGGCTCTTAGTCTTAAATTGGCAATGTGGCTTAGTGAATGAGGTGCTGGACCAGGAGTCAAGAGGACACGGGTTCAAATCCTACTAGTTCTGTGATGCTGCTTACGTCACTTAATGTCTCTGTACCTTAGTTTCTTGAATGAGGGGGTTGGACCCACTGTCCTCAAAGATCCCTTCTAGCTTTGCTGTGATAGCAGGAATAATTGATATAACTGAGGACCTTACAGGTGAAGCTAAGTGGCCCCCTGTTTGGGAGGTCACAGCAAGGATTCCTATTTAGATAGAGACTCAGCTGAACAGCCCTTTGCAGTCCCTCCCAACTCTGAGGTTCTGTAATGAGAGCTAACATTTATCTAGCCTCAGAGACCTGGAGAACCAGAAGGGACCATAAGTGCCGTTGAGGGTAGACCTGGCATTTTACAAATGGGAAGACTTCTCCATCTTGGTTGCTTTCCAATTTAGCATTATAGCACTTTCCAATTTTAAAGGAACTCATCTGCATTTTAAACATTTGACCCTCACAAAACTCAGAGGTGGCAGGGAGTGGCACTTAGGCATGGTGAAGGGAGAAAAGGGCAGGGAGTTAAGTGGCTTGGACTCTAGTCCCAGCTCCAGCACACCTGCACTGGGTGACTTTGTGCCAATTACTCTACCTTGGTGGTCGTGAATCTTTCCATCTGTGCAATGGAGAACTTTGTTGAATTAGAATGACTTCTAAGGTCTCTTCCAGCTCCAGAATTCTCTGGCTGTACTTTCCATTTTCCATGGCAGAACAATGACCTTACCAGTAATAGTATTCCATCAACTCCTTCCTGTCTTGGTAGATTAAATGGTACATGCCTGGGTCCTTCTCACCCTGGGACCTAGGTTCAATGATAGTGTCCTTTCACTAAATTATCCTTTCCTCGCATATGTCTATTTGGGGGATCTTAGTGAAATTTTAGGACTGGGGTCATTTCATTGTCAAGGAGTGAGGAACCTATTAGCATGGATTCAGATCAGAACTAACCACCTGTTAAGTGGATCTCCAGTGCCCAGGCTACAGCACTGGTTGTGCTAATCATAGGCTTGCCTTTCCAGGTCTCTGTCCACTTCTGTTTCATTCCCTTTCCATAAGTCTCCTGTTTCTTTCGATAGCATTCTCTGACAGTTTGGTTTATGAATTGACCTTGTGCCCCTCTGTCATTTGTGTGAAATAGCTCAGCTGGAAATTCTCTGTACAAGGCAATTTCCTAAATTTTGGACAGTAACCTAGTTGTGTGAGACCTTCGCTAAAGGGAACAGCCAGTCTGCCTTAAGTGGGAACAAGTCCCTGAACACTGGCCACGATTGTAAGGCTGATATTTTTCCTCACGTCTGTTTCCCAGGGCTCTAAAAGTCTCCTTGATTTTATTTGACTTCCCAGACCAGTCCCTGACACCAGTGCCCCCTGCCCTCTGGGTCCCTGTGCTTGACTTTCTGATGCCGCCGTAGGAATCATTCACCTTTATTCTCCCTGACTGTAACCTCTCAGCTGAGATTGGAATAGAGAAAACAATTTCTTGGGGGCTGAATGCCCAAGCTCCCCAAGTTGTTCCAGTTTGAATGGGGAATTTCATTATGAGATCACAATCCTAACAAAGGATGATGATGATGAGGGACGCTGATCACAGAGAACGGAATAATCTACCTGAGGGAGAAGACTCTCTATGTCACCCGCAGAATCATAGAATTTTAAAGTTGGAAGGGACCTCAGTAGACATCTAGGCCAAGCCATGTCCCAGAAGGAATCCCCATCCCAATATTCTGGATAAGTGATCATCAAACCTCTGCTTGAAGACCTGCAGTGAGAAGGAAGGTGCTGTGTCCGGAAGCAGCCCATTCCACTGTAGGGCAGCTCTAATTGTTAGAAAGCCAGAATTTGTCTCTTCACAATTTCTACCCATTGTTCGTGGCTTTGCCATCTGCGGCCAAATAGAACTCATCTATTCGTTCTTCTATGTGACAGCCATTCAGGTATTTGAAGACAGTTATCAGGTCTCCCCTGAGTTTTCTCTAGTTTTTCATCTCTAATTTCTCTAACTGATCGTGGTTAGCCATGCCTTGACCCTCCTCAACTTATCAATGTCCTTCTTGAACTGTGGTGCCCACAACCGAGCACAGTACTCCAGATGTAGGCTGGCCAGGGCAAAGTGCAACCAGACTGTCTCAACTTTTTTCCTGAAAGCTCCCTGTTCTTGTCTAATAAAACCCAAGATGACATCAGCTTTTTTGGCTGCCCTGCTTGGTCATTCATTAAAACCCCCAGCTCTTTTTAGGCAACCTGCCATACCTAATCATACTTTGCCCATCTTGTACCTTTGAAGTTGATTTTTCTGAACCCAAGTGTAAGACTTTAATCTTAACCCTAATGAATTCCATTTTATTAGATTCAGCCCAAGGTTCTAGCCTGCCAAGACCATTTTGAATCTTGATTTTGTCATCCAGAACATTAGCCATCCCTCCTGGCTTTTTATCATCTAAAAAATCGAGGAATGTGCCAGCTGTACCTTTATCCAAGTCACTGACAAAAATCTTAAATAGCAGAGGGCAAAGTACAGAGATCCCTGAGGTGCTCTACTGGTGAGTTCTCCTGCCAAGATGACATTAACCATTAATGATGACTACTCTTTGAGTCCAGCCATTCGACTAGCTCCAAATTCATCTAACTGTAGCATCTAGCCCACATCTTTCAGTCCTTTCTCTAAAAATACTATGAAGCACTTCACCAAATGCTTTATTAAAATCTAGGTAAATTATATCTACAACATATCACTGATCTACCAGTTTAATAACCCCATCCAAAAAAAAAGGAAATAAGGTGAGAATGATACAAGATATCCTTGAAGCCATGTGACTTTTTGTAATTTCAGTGGCTCTCTCTAGATTTTTTTTTTCTAGATCCTCTTTAAGGATCAATTCTAAAAGGTTTCTAGGAATTGAAGTCAGTTTCACTGGCCTTTCGTTTGCAGACTCTATTCCCTTTCCATTTTTGAAAATCAGGACAGCATTTGCCTTTCTCCATTTTCACCTGTGACGCTTCTCCCATTTTCCATGATATTTTGGATGTCACTGACTGACTCAGCAGTCTGGCATTCTTTCAGTGAGCAAGGTGATAGAGATTCACCAAGAGTAGCTTAGGTGCCCTCTTACCATCTCCTTCCTCACTCATTTTAGGTTTCAACACCATCTTTGTTCTTGCATTTCCAGTCCAAAGGTCACTTTCCTTGGCAGAGAGAAAAAACCAACAGGCAAAAGAAGCAGTGAACAGCTGCATCTTCTCTTTGTTGTCAGCTATCATCACTTTGTCCTCCCCAAACAGTGGTCCTACCCATTCTTTGATTCTCCTTTTTCTCCCAACGTAGCTTAAGACACACACAATCCCCCACCCCCACCTCCACATACAGACCCAATATGTTTGTATTGTCTTCGGCTTTCCTTACCAGCCTCGGCGGCACTTTTGGCATTGATTTTTACAGACCTGTGCCACACGCTTCTAGTAATTCTTTACTTCTGTCTTCTGTTGGGTGACTTCCTTTTGCATCCATGTTACTCTTGTCAGATGGTGTTCCCTTTTCTTCCCTTTCTTCAGAATTGTTTCCTATCATTCTTTGGAGTTTCCCGACCCTCCTAGGATCTCCTGTAGAATTTTAGTTCTTGGGTTCCCACCCATCTTTCTTCTGATGCCTTTAAAATTGGCCTTCCTCAAATCCAAGGTCCATGTCAGACGACTCCCCAGTTTTGTTCTCCTTTATCATGAACTCTAGGAGGAAGTGGTCACTTCTTCCCAAAGTGCCTGTAATTTCTACCCACCCTCAGCAACCAGCTTTTCTGTGTTAGTGAGAGTCAGATACAGAAAAAAAAAATTTCACTTTTGGTTCCACCCCTTCTTGGATGATGAAGTTATCATTAAAGCAGATTCATTGTTAGCCACTCTGGTTTTGACAGAGAGGAAACCTCCAAGAGATTATTAAAGGGTCCTCATATCATGCTGCAGTCCCACACTCAAAATCTGTTTCCTGAACTCCTTCTCTCTCTCCTTCTTCTGCCCAGATGGATGGTTGTGTACTCTCCTGATGACCAAACCGCTTCTGTTTCTGCCCCGGTCCCTTTTCGCCAAAACACTTACTCTCCTTTGGGCTCCCCTCTACCCATTCCACTCTGGCCGCTGGATTTTCTTCATACAAGTGTACCTCTGGAATACACAGTGATCCCTCATTCCACTTTCTTTTGAATAAAGCATACGAGTTCACATTGCTATTTCACAGGCATGGGTTTCATCCCTCCTATGTGTTGTGGATATTCATGAGGCCAAATTTGCCTCCTCACATTAGCACCTCTAGCTCCTCTTTCTTGTTGTCTAGACTTTGGGCATTTTCGTGTCAGTGTTTGAGGCCACAAGTTTTACTGTTCTCTCCTTTCTTGGATTTTTTCCCTTTTGAACTTCAGGTTATCTCAAGTGTGGTTCTTATTTCATTATTGCTCCCCTACGATGTTCCACCGTTCTTTTTATCTTAAAGCCTTTTGGATTAGATTTGCAAGATGCCAGGCTAAGACATTCTTCCTAGCCTTTGTTAGGTGCCCTCCATCTTTGTCCAGGAATCTGTCATTACTACCTGTCTAGCCAAATCCCATTCTCAGAAACCCTTAGCCAGTTACTCTTCTGAATCCCTTGCTTTCAGTAGGAAGGCCCCCTTTGCCCCTCTGGTCTTCAGTTTATCATCTATGGGAAGGTTTTCTAAATTCCTACTGGCAACATACTTTGTACCCAAAGTGTATATGAGTACATATACACATACATCTCTTAGTATAGGCCTGAGGAATACAATTGACCTCTCTCTGGTTGTCAAGTCAACCAATAGCTGCCTCAGTCCCCCTGAGCAGGAAATCACTCCCTGCTACTTCCCTGCTCTTCTTCCTCCGACCTTTATGGACTAATCACTTTCACCCAGTAGCTTCTGTGGCTTCTTTTTACTGTTACTTTCATATCAACAGAACCAGCTCCATCATCCTCAGAAGGGCTTCACATTGTGTGTGAGGTTTTTTCCACTTTTGCCCGTTTCCCCGCCACCTACTCCCTTCTTGAGGTCCTGTTGTTGTTTTGTTTTTTGTCTTGCTTTAGGGACACTTCCTTGTCCCTGATAAGGTGGAATATCAGAAGACATTCACCTTTTTACCACTTGACAGCCACATCTGACTTCCTTTCTTTTCTCTAAACAACTATATATTATGTAGGCAACTGAGCCAAATTTATGAAAATAAGAGCCGTTCCCCAAATGATAAATAGTCAAAGGCTTTGAACAGGCACTTTTCAGAAGAAGAAGTCAAAACTATCTATAGTCATATGAAAAAAAATGTTCTAAATCACTATTAATTAGAACAACTCTGAGGTACCACCTCACACCTATCACATTGACTAACATGACAGAAAAGAAAAATGACAAATGTCAGAGGTCATGTGGAAAAGTTGCGACACTAATGCTCTGTTGGTAGAGTTGTTAACTGGTCCATCCATTCTGGAGAGTGCTTTGGAGCTATGCCCAAAGGGCTATAAAACTGTGCATACCCTTTGACCCAGCAATCTCACTACGAGGTCTATATCCCAAAGAGATCAAACAAAAAGGAAAAGGACCCACATGTACAAAAATATTGATAGCAGCTCTTTTTCTGGTGGCAAAGACTTGGAAATTGAGAGGATACCCATTAATTGGGGAATGGCTGAGCAAGTTGTGGTATATAACTGTGATAGAATACTATTGTGCTATAAAAAACGATGAGGAGGATGGTTTCAGAAAAACCTGGGAAGACCTATATAAATTGATGCAGAGTGAATTGAGGCAGAACCAGGAGAGCATTGTACATGGTAACAGCCACATTGTAATGATAATCAACTGTGAAAGACCTAACTACTCTGATCATTATAATGATCCAAGACAATTCTGAAGTACCCACAATAAAAAAAATGCTATCCACTTCCAGAGAGAGGTGATGAACCCTGAGTGCAGTTGAAGAATTTCTTTATTTTTCCTGCCTTTTTTTTTTTTGCAACATTGCTAATATGGACAACATAAATAAAGAACTATGTATTTACACACCACGTTCTTTCTCTTCTCTTACTAATCTCTTATTTGTTTCACCAAACTACTTTACTTTCCAATTTATTTTACTAAATTGTTTTACTGACCTTTTTTCATTTGCCTTGCCTAGCCAACTTCCTTCTCCTTTAGTTCTCTGCTAGTCCTTATATCTCAACCCTGCTTTTTGTTTCTTCAGTCCTCTGTCATATTGAGTCCTTCTCCCCCTTCAGCTGATCCTCAGGTTTTCCCAATTTCTCTTCTAAACTCCTTCTAGCGTTCTTTAGAAGTATAGACCTGCAAGACACCTTCACGATCCTCTTCCTCCTTATTCAGCTCTTCTTTTCCCACAAAACTGGAAATAAGAAAGTCAGTGACCTCAACTAGTCACCCAGCCTTCCTTTGAAGACCTCTAGTAAATAGAAACTCATCACTACCTTTGGAAAGTTCTGATCAATAGAAAATTTTTCTTTCTATCAAGCCAAATTCCATTTCCTTGTACTATTTGCCCGTGGTTTCCAGTTTTATCCAATGAGGCCAAGCAACACAATACTAATCTTTCTCCCATGAAGCAGCTCTGCAGACTCCTGAAGACAGCTACCATGCCTTTCCCAAGTCTTCTCTCTCCTAGTCTTCACATCCCCGGTTGCTTCAACTGATTGTCTTCTGACATGGTCTCCTGCCCACTCATCTTAGAATACTTTCCAGTGTACACTTTCTACCTTGTTACTCTGCCTCTCTAAATATGGCATCCAGAACTCACAGAGACACTGTGAGATCAGATCTGACCTGGGTAGAAAACAGGTGCAACCTAACTTCCATTACTGGAGGTACTTTATTCCCATTGGTGCAGCCTAATACCACAAAATTGTGGTGTGGTAGATAGAGCTGACCTTGAGGTCAAGAAAACAAGGATTCAAGTCTTACCCTCTGACACATGCTGACTGCATGACCCTGGGAAAGTCATTTAATCTCTCAGCCATCCAGGCAACTCTTTAAGACATGGTGTTGCAGAGCAGATGCCTGTCCAGACTGGTAGAGAGAGTTTCCTCATAAGCAATTTCTTGTATCAGTGACATCACAGGTGTGCTCAAAAAACACACCCTCACACACATTAGCCTTCTTGGCTGCCCCATCACAACCTACTACTATTGAGTTTGCTGTCTTCTAAAACCCCTGGTCTTTCTGCCATGATGTGTTACCTAGGCCCAACTCCCCCAGCTTGTAGGTGACCCCAGGAGCTAGGGGGCCTGGCTTGAAGGGTCCTAGGGACAGAGGAGGGAGGACAAGGGGCCAGTGAGAAGGGCATCAGAAAGACCTGAGGCAGATGGCTTAGTAGCAACTACCTTTACCTTCTGAGAACTTGAACTACAGGCCCTGGAGAGTCTGCCGGATTTAACCCTTTGATCCCAGTTCCTGATCCTGGACTGAAGAGCTCTGTACCTCTTCACCTTTGCCCTGTTAACTGATTTTGCCCAGCCATAGTTCTTAACTTCTTATGATTTAGTCTTTGAGACTGTGTAGCCGTCGGCTAGCCTGGGAACAACATTCACAGTGTCTAAGGCACTTCTGCAGTACGGTATCAACCAGTGTTCTCTCTCTCTGTTTCTGTCTCTTTCTCTGTCTTTCTCTTTCCTCTTTCCCTCTTATCTCTGTCTCCCTCTCTCTCTGTCTCTCCTTTTTCTCTCCTTCCCTCTTTCTCTTCCTCTCCCCCCTCTCTCTGTCTTTCTCTCACACGTATACATACCACGCCGCCTCTGGAAGCATTCCTTTTCTAGAACCCAATTCATTAGAATTTAGAATTCTGCATTTTTTCCCCAAAAAACAGAGCTAGAAAAGATCATAAATATGACCTAATCTTACTGCCTGATTTCGCATGTTAGGAAACTGAGTCCCAGAGATGGGAAGGTCACAGAACTGAGAATTGACCATTGTTTCCTGACTTCTCATCTAGTGCCCTTTCCATCTCACCATACCATGTCCCCTTTTCTTATAACAAATGGAAGTGTGAGGGGTGGGAACACATGGGTTCTAGGACCTCCCAGATCCACCCATAAATAAAGGACTTAATCATGAACCAGTCAGGGTTCCTTTAGTCCTTTTTTCTTTCCCATTGCTGACTGGAAAGCTGAGGTCCACTCAGTCAGCTCAGTTTCTTGGTGTTAATGGGCTTCTCCATCATGATGAAGTGTGATGCCTGTATTGTGGTCTTTCAACAGCTTTACGCCCCAAGACCTGCATAAGCGAGAAAGAAGCAGTGAGGAGGAGAAGGTACTGACAGCTTGAGGAGTGAAAACAGCACGGTCTGGCCAACCCTTTGCTTTGACACCCCAGGACTCCCCCCAGCAGAGATCCTTCCACTCGTGGGCCAGGGGAAGGTTTACTGATGGATGTTAAATTCAGGGCAAGTGTTGCCCTCCCTTTGCATTTGAGTCTGGTACTTTGCCAACTGGAAATCCAGGAGAGATGTGAACTGAGTTCCAGTTAACACCACCAATCAAGACGGGGCTGGGATAACAGTCAGCATGGATTGGAGTCTGTCTGGGGATGGGGGAGAAGAGATTCACAGGTTAAATTGCTTGGGAAAAAAAATACAGGCATTGCTGTATACAAACCTGGAGGACAAAGGGCCATTTGAACTGTATTTTTCTAATGGATTTTTGTTTTGTTTTGTTTTGTATCACTTGCCGTTGTACCAAGTTCCACTCCCGCTGTCTCTGAGTCCTCTCCTGGGTACCTTGTCAGGCTCAGGCAGCTGCAGGAAAAGCCAGTTTAAAGTCTATAATGGGAAATTGGCCTAGAGGGGAAAGAGCCTGTTGTAGAGAAGAAAGAACCAATATGAAGAGGAGAGCATCTCCCCCCAGCATGTGGTCTGGCCCTCGGAGTGTGAGCTCAGCAGTTACAGGAAAGAGGCTGGGGCCACAGCCAAGGGCCAGCCCACTGCTGGTGGAGACGCTCACAGCTGCTCGTTGTCCCCTCGTGGGGAGGGACTTGGGGGTTGCTGAGGGAAGCGTCCCTCCCTACTCTTCCTCCGAGGACCAGTGTGGGGAACATCGTATAATCAGGTGGAGGACATGATCATTATTGGGAGACTTACTCACCTTTTCGCTATTTGGTGGGACAGTTTGGGGGCAGAGAATGGAACATCTCATGCTCATAGCCGTGGAAATTTTCACACAGACCACCTGTTTCATGCAGACTCTCATCCTCACACCATTCTTCCCAAATTCTTGGTGGAGGGGATAGCTTCTAAAAATGAGAAGCATCTCCACACTTTCTGCGCATGCACATGTGTATGCACTCATACACACATATACACAATTCTTGGGTCTTAACTATCCCTTAACTCTCTGGGCCAGACTGAAACCCAAAGAAGGAAAGTGCCTAATGTTAGAAAGGGAAATTCCATCCTTTTCTTTAAAGCAGTGGAAAGAGTCAAATGGAAGAGAGCCTGGAGGCTGCCTGGGTGCCCATATCCCCCTGAACTTTGACCCAGTGAATACAGACCAGCCGTGGCCTGAGGTGAGGAGAGGGCTGGAGGCCACATTGGCTTTCCTGAGCCCAGTCCAGCTGTCTCCTTGATGTATGTCCAGAAAGAGGGTGCCACCTTGGCCCATCACTGAAGAGGTTCCCCTGACACAGAAATCCAGTAGATTGAATCAAAAGCAAATTTCCTTATCTCAAGAGGCAGCCCAAGGTTAGTGACATTATGTCCCTGGACAGGTGGGCTGAGATCCCGGGAAGCTGCAGATCAGCCGGTGATGTTCTGCTTGGGGAACGATAGAACACCTTGAAGTCAGATTTCCTGGTGCATGAAGGGCAAATGTTTGCTTTCAGCACCTCCCTCAAGAAATGGGATATTGCCATCTCATTTACTGTTTCCTTGGTCCCCTGACTTTGACCTGCAAAGGACTCACCCGCCATGTTATTTCCCAGCAAGCTCCCTGAAGGATAAAACCATAGGACTCTTTGGAAACATTTAGACTAGGAGTATCAGGTCTTTCCAATATAATGTTTCCACCAGCCTCTAGTTACCAGCACATTTAGAGCTACTCCTCCCCCTTTATCCCCCCCTCCCCACTCCTGCAGTGGGAAACAAGTGAGCCTCAACCCCTGTGCCATGAGCTGCTCAAAATACATCTACTTCCACCTGTATACCAAGTTCTTATCAGGGAACTAATTGGTTTCCCAGTGGTGGGTAATTTCTTGTTCCAAATATTAATCTGTTGTTTTTCTGGCACCCAGCCCAGAGACAGCCCATGTACTGTGAGTATGTTACTATGCAACAGAAAACCTGAACAAATATTTTACAAGATTTGCAGATTAAACGTAAGCAGCTATGCAAATGTGCTTTCCATTTGTAACTTGTGGATGATATTAAGATCAGGACTTGCCCCTCCTAACTAAAATTTATCATTTGCTCAGCTTTTAAAAAGCCCAGCTTCTCTGCTCCTGGTGAATGCTCCCAATATGTGGGATAGTATAAGAACTGTCCTCCATAGCCAAGCTCTTATAAGAGGGAAAAGTAGAAAGAAGGTCAGATGTAGCTCTTAGGTTAACAATCCAAAACCCTGTTGTGAATGTACAGGTGTATGACAAAACTACAGAAAAAAAACACCCTATGACCAGCCTAACACTTCAGTCATTTGTGTGAGTCAGAATTATTGGTATAAATGTGCGCACACACACACACACACACACACACACACACACACACACACACACACACACACACTCTGTGTCTGCTGATATTACTATAACTGTATGGACCATACAAGGCTAGAAAAGGATTGTACAGACATTCAACTTCAAAGAGATATACATTATTTTTTTCCCAAAGTCAATAAAATGTGTTCTAAAAATGTTGTCTTATTTGGGAGGAGGGGGTGGTAGTCAAGGATTCAACTAAAGATATTGCCCAATTAAAAGGCAATCTTCTCAGTCTTGGCTAAATGGGGAAGGAGGGATGGAGGGAGGAAAAGAGAATGGGAGAGAGAGAAAAAAGAAGGAATAAACAAAATAATCCACTGAGGTTTCTCGGTACCCCCAGAGTCTAGTCCCCTTCTCATTTCTGGCTTTCATCCACAAGACTCCCCTCAAAGGGAGGGCCATAAGCTGACCTGGGGCAGGTACCTGGCTGAACTCAGCCTTCTGACAGTGAGGAAAGACAGCAGCTGCAGCTCAGGACCCACCTGTCTGACGTCCTCCAGAGCTGCCTCCTCCTGCATTCTAGAAACATGGCCCTTCCATTCAGCTTGTCACCAAAGATGAGGCCTGAGCTCAGAGGAATTTTTAAAGCGCCCACAAGGCTGCTTATAACCACATCACCTCATTAATACACCCCTCTAGGGTGGGCCCACCAACGCCTGTCCAGCCCACAGAGTGAATGCTCCAGTACATTGAGGGGGCTGCCGCAGGCTGTCAGTCACCCACTGAGCCTGACAAACATTTCACCTTGGTGTTGGCTCAGGGTTTCCAATGAGTCATTCGTTTCCCTCCGCATCTTACTTCCAACTCTGGCCTGTTTTATCCCCTGATCTCCCCACCGTGACGAGTGAGAATAAATCACGTTCAAGGCTGCTGTCAGAGGGGCTGCTCAGAGACTTGTTTGTTTTGTGTGCACAGATTAGAGGAGAAATTTAAAAATTAAGTGGAGTGACTGCCAGAGAGAGAGACAGAGCATTAAGAAAGGACCAGGAGCTAAGGAGCAGTTCCAGGTTTTTGAGAAAGGCAGCTGTCTTGGTGTAATTAACAGGAAACAATCTACCCTTTGGTTTTAAAGAAATCACAGCTTTGATGGTAACCAGCAACATCATATGCAACAAAGCCCAGGAAGACCAAATGATTGGGATTTCTCAACTGGAGACATTTCCAACTTTGCAGCAAACCTGCCTCACCAAGAAAGAAATGAGCCTCCCCCTCTCCCCCAGTGCTTTCCAAGGCAAATTACCCAGCTCGTCAGGCAGTGGTGAACCAGATTGTGTTAGGAGAATCTGTTAGACCTCTTTGGGCACATTCTGAGGTCTGACATTTCCCAACCAGGAAACACATATGGAGAACAGCAGCCTCCCTCTGTTTGCCTGATCACTCAGCAAGCTCAAGGCTGTCATAAGAAAACAGGAGAGAAATACTGCTGCAATCCCAAGCCCTGGGGCTCTGATGCTCTAAAGCCACCATTCCTGGAGGGCATCACCCCAAAACAACCCACACTCCCCCTACTGGTACTGCTCCTCTCTGGGCTTTCTGGGGTGAAGGTACCAAGCGTGGAGCCAACAGGAGAACTTGTGGAGGGGCATAAAAAGCCAGCTCTGCCTGAGACAAAGACTGAGTAGCTCCCAGAAATGGAGGTATGCCAGACAGCACCAGGAAAGGGATGGCAATTGCATTTTCCACGGCAACCAGTCTTGGAGAATGAGTGACCGTGTGTGTGTGGATGTGTGTGACTGACCATATACTTTCATTATTTTTGGATTATGCATTGTTTTGTATAATCTCCTCCCCTCCTTCCACTAACCTAGAAGAGTTGATGCTCTTCCCATGGCAGCTGGAATAATGGAAACTTTTTTTTTTTTTAACAATGAGAAGGCACCATAGAGATTAAGTCTGACCTTTAATTCCAGGTGTGCAAGGCCTGGTGCTGAAGACCTGTGTTTAAATCCTGGCTATGCAACCCTGGGGAAGTTGTTCAACCTTTCTGGGCTAAAATGTCTTCATCTGCAAAGTGAAAGAGTCAGCCTAGATAACCTTTAAGGTCCTCCCAGCAAGTTAGCTGCAAAGTAAAAACCAGAACCTAGGTGGTCTACTGCACCATGATGGCTGGTCTCAGTCAAAATCCCAACCTGATGAAGGCATAGATACATTAGAATGTCAGATCTGGAAAGGACCACAGAATATAGAAAAATAGAGCTGGGAGATCCTTAGCTTGAAAAACTCACTAGCTGTGTGAACCTGAACCAGTCATTTTCATATATATATATACACATATATATGTGTGTGTATATATATATACATGTATGTATATATGTGTATGTATATGTATATATACATATATGTGTGTGTATATATATACATATATGTATATGTATATATATACATATATATGTGTGTGTATATACACACACACACACACACACATATATATGTTCCTCAGTTTCCTCATATATAAAATGGGGGTTATAATGCCATGTATCTCCCAGGGTGGTTGTGACGATCAAATGAGATAATATTTGCATAGACTTTGCAAACCCTAACGTGCTGCATAAATGCTAGCTGTTATTTTAGAAATTGGCTGGTCTGACTCACTTCCCAGAACAGATTATTTTTCAATCTCTTTCCACCCCTCCTGACCTCACCCTGTCCCCTCTCCCTCCAAGAATGTAAGCTTCCTAAACATAGGTTGGTTGGTTTTTTTTAAATCTGTGTCCGCACAGCATAGCAGATACTTAGTAATTGTTACAAAACCCTCCTAGGATGGAAAGTTTAGCTCCAGAGTTGAAAGTGAGGTAACTTAGAGTTTCATCTCTAAGCCAGAGAACAGGACTGGAAAAACTGAAAGAGAAACTTGGGTTGCCCTGAGCTATTCAATCCAATCCAATTTGATTCTACAGCTGCCGAAACCTTCAGGGCAGCTTCAGCACCTGGGCTCACACCTTCAGCTTTTGTCAGGCCCTGGAAGGGAACTTTATTACCTTGGACAGCGATCTGAGTGGGCAGCACCTCGGGCACTCCAGCCTGGAATTTTTCTAGTTGGATCTCGTCAATGCTTACACCAGAAAGTTTAGCAGGGAAAGAATAGGCACTGAAGACTTTCCAGAAGAAGGAATGGAGACTTGGAGGTTATTTGGAGTGTGTCTGGATGACATGCAAATCCTATGCAAATGAGGTCCTGTTACGTTTGGCTTCCCACTGCTTTTCATGGGCCCGGTGACCTCTGCCTCCCCACCTGCCTCCCTATACGCAGAGAAGGACCAGCGGGACTTACCGATCATCGTTAAAGAGTCCAATGAGTTTACTCTTGACCTGAAGTTAAGGCTGCTGCTTGCCAGCCATTTCCAGGAGCTGAAGCATCTTCCAGGGGGCCACAGCTGTGAGGGGCTGATAAAGACCCGAATTTTCCCCTGGGAAGGCCCATAACCCTTTTGTAATTAATTCTGCCAAGCTAGTCAGTGCCACTTAGTGTGGGCAGTGCCCACCACAGGCTTGAGTGTGCCAACCCTGCACAGGGAGTGGGGGAAGGAGATGAGCCTGCCTCACACAAGGCAGTGTCTCACTCACTCAGCTTTTGGATTTTGGCAGAGAAACTCCTTAGACTGTGTGATTAGAAACTGAGGCTCAGATAGGATAAGGGACTTACCTATCTGCTCACATATGTAGCATGTTACAGACCCTACATTTGGGTCTGTCCCTCCAACTCCAATACAGTGCTCTTTCCACTATACCACACTTCTTTCTGTGTTTTGTGGAAATTTCATTTTTCATTTTGTTTAGTCTGGAGAGGTTATAGGATCAAAAAAGTAGAGCTGGAATGGATGCTCTCAACCATCTATCTACTCAAACTTCATTTTACAGATGAGGAAACAAACCTAGAGAGTATAAATGCCCCAGGTCACATAGCTATTAAGCAGCTGAGTCAGGATTTGAACCCAGGTCCTTGTGCCCTCTGCTGTATGTGGAATCAAGCAAAGATCCTAGAACTGGTGGATGGTGGTGAGTTCACTGGACTTAACATTAGGACGCTTGGGTTTAGATCCCAATTCAGGCACTCACTGTGCAGCCTTGGGTAACTCATCCAACCTCTCTGGGCCTCAGATGCATGATCTGTAAAATAAAGGTTGCACTAAATGATCAAAGGGTCCCTTCCAGCTCTAGTGGTCTATGGTTCTCATTAGCCTCCGACCAACTTAAGTAGATGCCATGAAGTCCAAGCACTTTACGCGCAGGTAAAGCCTTTTGGGCCCTCAGCGCATACCTATTTTTACTTCGCACACTTTTATTTTATAACATCTCCAGGATGATATCAGATAACACTAGGGAAAGGAGTCATCCTTGCTTAATTTTATATTTACTGGGAAAGTTTTTGGCTTTCACACAATTCAAAGAGGCTTGTTTCAGTGTGGCACAGTGGAAAACTCACTAGATCTTGAGGCCAGAAGAGTGGGGGTTCAAATCTCAGCCCTGTGTGGCTATGGGCCAGTCATTTCTATTTCTCAGCCTGGGAATAGCACTTCCACAAGGTGGTCTTAGGTGGTTGTGAGGAAAATGCTTTGTAAACTGCCGTACACGGGTGAGCTAATTTCATTATCTGCTTTCCCAGTCCATAACAGATCGAAAGCAGGAAATTAGAGGAGGCCGGAGGGTAGGGGAAACTACTGGAGGCACAATAATGGAAAAGAACAGCCAACAGCTTAACAGGGAAGGGGAAGACAAAAAAGGTTGGAAAAGCAGATGCAAGAAATCTAAAAGCCTGGTGCCAAATGCAGATGCCAACAGTCCTAAACACACCTCAGTCATGCCCCAAGGCACCACAATATTAATTAAAATGAATACATTTGAAAAATCATGTGTGACTCTTAGAATTATACTTGTGGGAAGGATTTTCTTTTTCTCTTACTGTACTGACTAGCACAACAGTGAGTAATATTCATAATGACCCAGAATCACCATAAAATGTCTCAGCTGTGTTCAATATACCCTATTAGAAAAGGAAGAGAGGTCTGCTCTACATTTTGGTAATATTTCCATCAAACCTGGGGCAAAAGAATAAGCCTCAATTACCTGGAAACTGCACTTATTTGGAAATGCCAGATAAATGAGGTGATATAGTACTGTATTCCATAGACTCTGGTACTACAAGGCT